CAAATGGATATACATATGCAGTGCACGCAGTCTGTATAATTATTATAGTCACACAGATGAAAATGTGAAGTGCTCCAACCATAATTTGTTATATTGCGTTTATGTAACCAACCAGGCCGTCTTTAGATGCACAAATGATTGCTTTGCTGGCTTGCAGTGTTATTGTCCTTGCTTGTAAGTACATGAGTGAGTGAGTGAGTGAGTGTGTGTGTGTGTGTGTGAGCCTGCGGCCTATCAGAGTTCCTTACATCAGCAATCCCCCCACACACACCTTAAGAGCAGCCCAGGCTGATGGAAGGTCTAGTTAAGCCATTAAGGCAGACAATTGACTTAAATTGAGATGGAAGTAGGTAGAAGGAGAGAGAGAGAGAGAGAATGCTATGGCAGTCGTGGATCCACTTGACAACTTAATCTAAGCCTCAGGACTTACATTCAGACAGACAAACACACACACACAAACACAAAACACTTTTATTTTAACCTTGTGTCTGGTTCTTTTTCTTTCTACCTTGTCAGCACAGATGAGTGAAAGAAAGATGGTCCAAATAAAGGACATCGTGTTTAAACTGTCAGTGGCTTCTCTCCTTAAGGCCTGTTCACACCAAGGATGATAAGTTTCACGAAAACAAGAAAGATATAGTCCTAAAAATCATTCTCAATTTATAAGAATAGCGCACTACAACTATAATGGTAACCGCAAAGTTTTTTTTTTACAGCTGATGAACGATAAAAGCATTGACAACCAATCAAAATCCATACCGACTTTATAAAGCTCGAGCATTTAAAGTGTCAGACGACAAAACTGCAGCACGCTAATAATAAACAGAACGATATTGTCTGCTGGTGTGAAAGCTAATATAGTTATCATTATGGTTATCTTTATAGTTATTGGTGTGAACAAGCCTTTAGTCCTTTGCAGGGAATTGTAAGAAATGTATGATTCCACATAAGGATTCATTGTTGATTCTTTTAGCACCAAATAATGAATCCTGCTGTAATTCCATTACACCATTTAAGTATTTCATTGTAGTGTTCCATCTAAGAAGGAATAATGTTCGAGAACTGAAATTGAATGTCATGAAATTAATTCGATTCCAGCTCTTTTTTTTTCTTTCTTCTTTTTTATAGAACTGGTTCTTGATTCCCAACCGCAGGCCAGTGTGTGCGAGTGCCCTACAGCACACTGTTACAGGCTTCCTGTGACTTGTGCCTTTGTATTCCTGCAGTCAGGCCTTGTCGAACGAAACAATTACTAATTGTGACACACAAGCGCACACATACACGCACAACACCCTGACACTCGCAGTCCCATCCCTCTCTCTGTGTATCCGAGTGAGTTTCTGGCTCTTGGCCTCCGTGCCTGTGTCATGCTCGCTTTTTTCGCCATTATTGCTTTTTGATCGGTGGCGAGGGGCACCCTTATCACTGTGGTAACTGCCGGGGGATTTATTGGGGTGGGGGTAGCTGAGCAGCGGTTGCCGTGGGGACCCGAGCGGGCGGCTTTTCCCGCGGCGCATGCAGAAATGTCCTTTAAGTCGATCAAAGATTTGGGCGTCTCCGCGGAGAGAATAGGGTCCTTCTGCAAGAGATGGATGAATCGAGTCCAGAGGTCGGTGTCTGTTCTCTCTACCTCCAGCCTTTTTCTCTTTATCTGTCGCTTATCTTTAACTCTAGGCCTTGTTCTTTTGAATAGAATGACAAATCACCTCATCGCTTTAAAGCGAAATGAGAGTTTGTGAATGTTTCTTCATGGCTGTTTTCACTTCTAATCTGTAAATACTGCATGTATAAACTCAGCCACAGTACACATGTTCATATGCAGGCCTCAGGATGGATTCAGACGATTTGTGTGCTGGGTAATAAAAAAATAAAAAGTTTTTACCTTTACATTGTAAGACAGTACATTTACGGCATAATGCTAGTTTTATACATTTATATATTTGTTTCTTAAACTAAAAACAGTAGTTGTTCACCCTTGCTTCAATTGATAAATGGCATTTTTAATGCGATTTTAACATATTTAATTGACAGATTCATTTATTAATTAAATAAAAAATTATAAAAATATATTGCCATTTTTAAAAAAATATATATTGAGGGAGAAATATCTCCCTCAAATTTATTTATTTATTTATTGTCATAATTATGATTTCTGAGTGGCCTTTTTACAGCTTAGTTTCTCTTTATTTATATATATATATAGTGTTGTCAAACCGATTAATCACGACTAATCGCATGTAACAAAAGTTTGTATGTATATCTATCTTATCTTATCTATATATATATATATATATATATATATATATATATATATATATATATATATACCGGTATGCAAACTTTTATATTAGATGTGATTAATCACATATCACATATTTGTGATTAATCACAAGCATATATTAGGGCTGTCAAATGATTAATCACGATTAATCACATCCAAAATAAAAGTTTTTTTTACATAATATATGTGGGTGCACTGTGTATAATTATTTTGTATATATATAAATACACACATGCATGTATATTTAAGAAAAAAATATTATTTATATATAAAATATTTATATATAATATAAATTATATATAAATCTATACACAGTATATACATGAAAATATTTCTTAAATATATACAAGCATGTGTGTGTATTTATATATATAAAATAATTATACACAGTGCACCCACATATATTATGTAAAAAAAACTTTTATTTTGGATGTGATTAATCACGATTAATCATTTGACAGCCCTAGTATATATACATACATATATATATATATATAAATATATATGTTAAAAATCTGTTCCTCGAATCTGTTTTAGTTCCTGAAATCTATATATTTCCTCAAGAACATGAGCTTTTCATGAAACGGAGAGACTGGCACATTTTACTGAGAAAAGAAATCACTTCTCCTTTGTAAAGAGAATAGTGCTTAATTCATGTCAAAATGTCCTTGGAGTGATGCATGTTTCGAAGGGAAGACATTTGAGCAGTTATCTTGAAACAGGCGGAGAAGGCTTCCACACAGAATGCTTAGTGCGATAATTAGTCTCATGAGGAAATTATTACACTTCTTCACTGAGGATAGAACTATTTATTTATTAGATTTTCGTTTATTTTCATATCAGTTAAAGGGCAAAAGGCAGGTTGGCCTTCAATCAGCAAACCAAAGCTGAAATAAATAAAAAAATTGGAGTTTGTTCAGGCTTGGTTCACTCGTTTTGTTATTTGTAAGCTGGGGAAAAGGAAATGTGGAACTTTGTGAATGTGTGTGTGTGTGTGTGTAGGGGGGGATAATTCTCTCTTTGAGTGCTTTCATCTGGAACTAAAACGAGCGGAAGAAATTCCTCATGAACTCGTTGAACCAGCATCATGGGCGTCTAGGGGTCACACAGATCTGTTTCGCACCCTGACTCAGCTCAGCCATTTTTATCATGTCACGAGTTTGTTAAATTCTGGTAAAGTCGGTCGCTGAAGATGGCAAAATTCTGAGCTCAGTTCACGTTGAAGCTTTATGAACAGCATTTGTGACATGCCGTTAAAACTATTTAGACTCGTCTCTCAGTTTGTATAAACAAACCGAAATTGTGTTTCAGTAATTCACTTACAATGGAAGTCTACGGGGCATCCTCATGACATGAGTTTACAAATTATATATAATGTTGCACAGACAAGTTTAGTAAGCAATTTCATCACAATGATCTCTTAACACAAGTAATAGCCTATGCAAGTCTTTTGATGACACTGTGTATATTTATAATTTGCTATGCTTGCCTAATAGGCCCCCATTATAAATGTGCTGAAAATGTGTTTTGTGTTTTTGTTTTTCTCAAAAAAGGTACATTTTTTGTTATGGTAATATAACTTATTGAACCCTGAACAGAGTCAGATGTGTAACTGCTCAGGACTGTAAACACAACATCAACACACTCACACACAAACAATACAGCACTCATGCTGAGTGTAATAGCACTGTTGTGATTTTAATCAGCATTTGTGTCTCGGTGTCTTCCTGCTTTAATGAGGAGCAGTTGTCGATCTGTCCGGCTCAAATTTGATCTTGCTGTGACTCTGAGCTTGGAGACCAACCTCTCTCACTCACGGTATACTTAGGGGCTGTTTACACGACACCGGTTTAAATAAAAACGTAAATAATGTTATGCGTTTTGGCCGTTTGTTTATACGACGACGGCGTTTTGGGTGGCTTGAAAACGCAAAGTTTTGAAAACTGGTTTCAAAGTGCCATAGTTATATACACTAGATGTCGCCTTGGGGTTCTAAGCATGCGTCAAAACCGCCGCCATCTTGGAACAGGGGTCTTGTCATAGGAAGTAGCTAGGTAACGCTGCTATCTCCGCCTGTACTTCGAATTCATGGATTTTCGGACTTTTGTGCTGCGTATGGATGTTCACACGAACGAAATCTGAACTAGGAAGAATGTGTTTTAAAAAATATATTTTGAAAAAAAAATTCTCTGGACTCTCATGTCTGACCATTGGAACGAACCAAAAAACTAGAAAATCGCATTCATGACGATTTATGGTGATTTTATTTCCGTTAGACCTTTGCCTACATTGACGCTTATGCATGAAAGAGGAGGGGCTCCCCTGTTCCATGATGGCGGCTCTATTGACGCATTCGTTCCAATGAACTGCCGTAGCCAAGGCGACATCTAGTGTATATATCTATGTCAAAGTGCAAGTTTTTGAAAACATTCTCCATGTAAACAACAAAAACGCGAATCTCTGAAGACGATGACGTCATACTCATAGTATGTCTATAGTGTTCAGTCTATAGTGTTTCATCGCCATCTACTGGCCTGGCAGCAGAATACACTGCGATTTTCGCAGATTTGTGTGAATGGAGATCGTTTTGACAACGGTGTCGTCTTTACGCGGAAAAATCAAAGGAAAAACTTCTCCATTTTAAGCACATCGTTGTCGTGTAAACGTACCCTTTGTTTACACTCCATAACACTTGTTTTCTCTCTCTCTCTCTCTACAGTAACGGTACAGCTGGGAAGATGAACGGCGCCCTGGAACACTCGGACCAGCCTGATCCGGACGCCATTAAGATGTTTGTGGGTCAGATCCCTCGCTCCTGGTCCGAGAAAGAGTTAAAGGAGCTGTTTGAGCCGTATGGAGCCGTCTACCAGATCAACATACTGCGAGATCGCAGTCAGAACCCACCACAGAGCAAAGGTAGCGTGCGTTTCCTGTCTTTAATGCATCACACACGCCATCGCAGCACAAGGGTGTCATGTTGCATCATGTTAACCTACTCACATGTGTAATGTGTTAGCTTCTGGCTTCCTGTTTTACTTCTTTACTTCCTGTCTTGTCTGTTTCTGCCTTGGATCCTCTATCCAAATCTTTCTCTTTCCCAGTCTTTCAAAACAAAACAAAGTTAGGAACCTTCAAATTAGCATAATGGGGCACTTTGCAAAATGCAAAGGTCAAAGAAAAAAGAAAGGAAAACAGTGTGAACAGCCATGCGTGCAAATAATGCTATATTGTTTTGTGAATGTATTCTTGTGCTGCTGCAGAGAATGATGGGTAATATAGCTTGGTCGCACTAGTATGATTCATCATTCACTGGCTAAATGAGGTGCGTTTTCTTGGTTAGCTTTTGGTTTAGCTTTATCGTTATTCATCATAAACAGTACGTAAAATGCGTACAAACGAATTACCGTCAACATTAATAATTAAAGCGCAATTATTATCAATGCCAGGCCTAAACTCAGAAAGTCTGAGGCGAGTTTCTGATTATTACGACATTGTTGTGCCGTTCACGTCCTCAGAAATATGATCATTTAGAGTGCAGTAATGTTCCAATCCAGTCACTTATGAGGTTCAGTTGTGGTTCCGATGGTGCCTATGTAGGCGGTAGACAGCGAAGTAGCTCGCCTGGTTTCAGAATAGCGCTAAAGCGTAGGCGTTAACCTCGGTTCTATGGAGTTGTTAACACACAGACAGGAAGATGGCATGTACACGTTCACAATGCCGCCCATCCTCTCGCTCTTACGGAGGATGAGTCAGGGCCGAGTGGGAGAGCATTACTCAAGTCCTGTACTCTCTCGCACACACACAGGCATTGCGACGGGCATCTCCGTCAGAGCCGAGGTGTGTGATTGGCTTTCAGACGGGGTGATGAGTGCTCCTGTAGTTCAGTTAGAGTGCCTCTCTCAGGTCCAGCTTCATCAAGGCCTCTGACACAGCCGTTGGGCAGTAATGGCCGCCGCTAGCCTTCGGCTCCACTCAGACCCATTTTCATTTAGGAAAAGGTCGTCTGTACGTGGCTCCGGCTGTTAAATTAGACCGTATTGAAAGATTTCTCCACCAACAAAGTCGCAAGGTGAGCGTTAACTTCCCTCCTGTCTCTCTGGCACTGTTCTTTCCCTGTGGCGTCCACCAATTAGAACTGAATTTCTCTAAAAAGGTTTTGGTTTTCCATTTTCTCCCCTGCAAGGACAGTCTTTCCACCTTTTGAAATGACCAATTAATAGGCAGATTATGTTAAGAAAAAGGGTGCCAGTTAACAGGACTCAATTTGAAGTGTCTTAAAGTAACATATACACACAATATTGGATAACCTGAGATCTTACTCAAGTTCACACACACTTAACTTGAGTTTCCTTGACTTTCACTGACGCAACTAATTTAATACATAGCCTGCCCACAAGCAAACATAACACATTACAGTCTTTATATAGCTTTATTTTTTAAAGAGTTTTACACTTATTTTGGGGAACTTGCTTCAATATCTGAAATGTATTTATTTATTTATTGAAATATTTAACAAATAATATTCATACACACATCAATTCATGTATATCATATAATATGACTATACAAAAATTATTTAAAAATGTATATTAGAGCTGTCAAAATTAGTGTGTTAATGCATGCAATTAATTTTTTCAGTTTTTTGTTGAGGATGGATTACATGAAGTCTTAAATGAACGTAAAGAGTTGTGAGAAAATGGGATGTGTGGCAGGTCTTAAAGTGACGGCAGCCCATTAAACCTGCTGCTGTCTGTCATTAAGGATAATCAAAAAACAAAAGACAAAGAGAAAATCACTCACTGCTTTTGACTGAATAACTTTTGTAGCTCTAAAAAGGATTAATTTATATTTAATTTATAATTTATGCAGGGAAGACTGTGAAGTGTTTGATAACTTTATTCAATTTCTGTATATAGACCTAAAAATCTTAAAGCACTGTTTACAAGGTTACATGGGTCAAAAACAACAAAAGTAAAAGCAAGTAAAAATGAACTGGTCTGAATGGGCCAACAGAAAACCATTGAGCCCTGATATATTGAAGGGCAGGTAAATGTGGCATTTATTATAATGGGCTTATGTAAAGAGTGTTTTAAGTTCACTTAAACTAAAAGTTGTTATTTTGTTATGGCTAATACACAATTCAATTTATAGCTTTCAATTATACTGTAATGCTGAATGGCTATAATTAATGGCTAAAATTGAGGGGAAAAAATCTATTTCATAGAGACATCAGTAGCGTTATTGGTATCAGTGATACTGGCCTTATTTCATAAAAAAAATGCAATTAAACAAATATTTAAAATATTGACTACTGTCTTTGTGTTGTTTTTACATTAATTTGGAGATTAAATGTGAAATTATTACATTATAGAAATATATTAAAAACTAATGATAGGTGCAATTAATTCCAGAAAAAAATGCGATTTATTTATTTTTTAATCGATTGACAGCACTAATATTTATACAAATGCAATAAATATTTAGAATATATTAAAAAATTTGTATTAATCATATATATTTTTTAAGATGGACAGGGAAAATGAAGTGGCTGGAGTAGTACTTGTGTCAGTGTTGCATCGCAGTCGCTGGATTATATTGAAAGCAATCAATTTTTTATCTTGAGTTGTGGTTTTGTTAGCTTCACGCAGCGAGGACAATACTCCACGCCCTTGGCCACTGACGTTTCTGGATATTCTTTCAACCCAGATCCAACTTATCTTCGGTGGAAATGTTCCGAACTGTTACAGATTGGGCACCAGCACCCAATGGAAAAGTAGTCACACTCGCAAAGACATCCCAGCGAGAGTGCATAACTCCTCTGAGTTTCAGTCTCAGCGGTGTAATCTACAGTCACACACATGCTGTGCCAATTCATAGTGGGACGTCGCGTCCTGCGCCCCGCTTGTGTCCCTGCCTGGCCGCCGTAGCCTGATCATCAGCAGGGAGGTGCTTCCGAACAGACGGCCTCACTGATCGCCTGCCTAGCGTGTGTGTGTGTGTGTGTGTGTGTGTGCGAGACCAGAAACAAGGCGTAGAATATAAATGCACCCAGAGGTGAAGAGCAGGAATTGTTTATCAGAGCAGGGCTACAATTTAGAGCGGTCACGCACACACATAGAAACAGACCGTCCCTTGTTGATTGAGTGATGCGAGAGCGGTCCAGGGCTAAATGGCCCTGAGCAGCTGGGGTTCTTTAGTAAAGATGTATTCCTGTCTGCCTTTGAAGTCCGTCACACATACACACACACACACACACACATACGCACGCCTACACGCTCACAAGATGAATGGATGCGTTTGTGTGAGCATCCTTTTCAGTCCCTGGACACGTAGCACAGCCGCAGAATGATATAAGAGCGTGTGTGTGTGTGTCTTCTAAGGCCAAATGCAGATGTGCTATGCTAATGTATTAAAATGTATTCTAACAAATATGTGTGTGTGTTCATGGTATTAAGTCCATAACTTTAGGGCATTGGATAGACTGTCTCGTATAACAGATCAAAAACGGAATCTGGGAATAATTGGCATTCAAGTCATTTTCGTTTACAGTCAACACGAAAAAGATATTCGCAACCTGTTATACTTCCATAATGTGGCACGTTTTCGAGTGAAACGAGATGTAAAACGTTAAAGGCGGTTGGTTTTATCCATCGATGTGATGATATTATGAAATCCTCCCGTCAGCGAGTCTCAGCACGAGTACGAACGGTCACGGAGCTCTTGAGGCGGTTGTACGGCTCGTGGTTTTATCCTGTCTTATCCGTCTCAGGTGAGACTCGGGCTTTCAGACCGTACGTCAGCAGTCCTGCCATGTACGGATGTGGAAAACACTTTGAGGACGACGGTTCTGACCTCGTTGCCTGGGATTGTCAAAAGTTTCCAGTGTCGGAACACGATTAAACACGAACCTCTGTCAACAGCCAAGGAATGAGTCGCTGGCAGAGTCCAGAAAGGCTACATTTCCTTCACTTTTGCTGACAACACAAGCACGAACAAGATCTTATTGGCTGACTGTTTCATATAAGCGTATTAGCGTTGTTTTGGAGGCAGCATTTTAAAAGCTTTTGGATATCTATGGCCTGATTCCATAGACAGGGCTTAGATTAAGCCAGGATTAGGCCTTAGTTCAATTAGGATAATTTTTAGCTTTTATAAATGTGCCTTAAAAAAAAAAAAAAAAAAAAACATTACTGGTATGCATCTTGAGACAAAACAATGTAAAAGATATGTCAGTGAAAGTTGCTTTCAGTTAAAACAGCTCAAACATGCATTTTAGTCTGGGACTAGCTTAAGCCTTGTCTGTGAAACCGGGGTTAATGTTAATCTAGAGTGATATGTAAAAACTATGGATCTCCTAAAGGGAGATATAAAATATATATATGTACGTATATTTATACAGACTTTCGCATGTACACGAGAAACTTTTGCATGTGCGAAATCCTTTGTGCGAAATCCACTACCATTTTACTATATTTGGTTTTTGTTAGGGGAGTATACCTCTAATATCACAGCCTTCAACGCATGTGAAATAGGCTGATTCTCTCTCTATCACATTATATATAATATATTATTAATTAAAGTCTAATAATATTAATTATTATCATTATTTTCCCCTTCCTAGCACTGTCCTGTAGCATGTAGTTTGTTAAGCAACACCGTAAATTGGTACATGAATTCATCAACTAATGTTAGGTCACAGGTTTGTGGATATCGACTATTGTACAACAGGTTTGAACATGGCTCATCCGTCATAGCTATCTAATTTCTTAACTTTACTTTCATCTTTACCTTCACTGGTCTTACTAAACTGTACGGTGTATTTCAGGTCTTGATGTAGTGGAGTTGATACTTAACACTATGGAGTATTATGGGCTCATGTAGTATTACTGTTAGAGTTGCTGTGGAGTGTTTAGGCTCATGTGGTATTAACTCAAAACCCCTGTACACAAAACGCTTGTGAACACTCCCCCTATATCAAATCTTTCACAATTGTTTCATACGTACAGGACATCTTGTTTGTGAAAACAAATTGTTGTCTGTCATTTATAACCTTTAATTTATTTAGTCATAAAGTCTGGTCCTAACTAAAGCTCATTCTGGCCATGAACATTTTTTTAAAACAAGACCAAACAGATTTGAAGCCCGTTCACACCAAGAACAATAACTAAGATAACTATATTAGCATCCACACCAACGTTCTGTTTATTATAGGCGCACACTGCAGTTTTGGTGGAGCTTCATAAAGTCGAATGGATTCTGATTGGCTGTCAATGCATCTATCGTTCATCAGCTGGAAAAAATCGTAAAGTGATTCCTACGATGTAATTCTTCTTTTCTGTTAACGTTATAGTTGTGGTGAGGACTCTGCTATTCTTCTAAATTTAGAACGATTCTTAAATATCTGTACCATAATAGTTATCGTCCTTGGAGTGAACAGGCCTTTAAGCTCACAGTTTTGAGAAAGCTCTTGGTATTTTTGCGTAAAACATTCTTCGTACAGTCAGCAAACGCTCCGAGGCTAAGACTTACATGTTCATTTAGTAGATGCTTGCGTTTTGAGGTTCCTATGGTATCCTAGTTTATGTTTTTGAGACCCCTTGGGTCAGTGTTTAACTTCAGGCACAATGATGATCGATCCGAACTGGGATCTCAGTTCCTGGGTCACTTCAGTTCTTCAACACTTCAGTTCCTGGGTCACACTTAATTGGGATTGAACCTGCAACCTTTGTGTTAATGGCCCAGAACCATTCAGTCCCCCGACCACGACCATTGTCAATGTTGACTGATGGGAATGTTTCAGGCATGTTGGGAGTTTAAATGTGTATGATCTCTTACTGGTGTGTGTGTGTGTGTGTGTGTGTGTGTAACACTGGGAACAGGGTTGTTTTGGCCATAGACTGGACTTCACTGTTGCCAGGGATGAGTGAGTCCTTAGTTTATCCTGCCAAAATTCTCCCTGGCAGTAAAAAGGGGATTCAGTTCACTCTTTTTTTTCTTGTTCCTCTTCTCTTTCCTCTCTAAATAAAACATGCAAGCACTCTCAGCTTGCTTTAGCCGCGCACACACACACACACAAACACACATATACAAAGATCCCCAGCTGATTCTTTCTTTTAGTCGGTGTGTGTATGCGCGCTTCTGCACTCCAATGCCCATTCAAGGACAGCGATGTGTGCAGACACATACTGAACGTATAGTCATTTTTATTTTTCTGATGAAGGAAAGTTTCTCGTGAGCACGTGAAAGTCTGTATAGTTTTATTTTTGCAGAGGTCCCTAGGGGCTCCGTATATTTAAATTAACGAAAATGTTTTCAATAGTTAGTTTTAAGGCTCGTACACACTTGGACGAATATCGGCGCGCGTTATTCGTCAGCGTTTTTCAACACGTTTTTTGTGTTCACACCCAAGCGATTTTCACTGACGTTGAGCCGAGTGAACATGCAAATTCATTCCCTGACATTAGATGGCGCTTAATGTAAAACAGAAATAGTCCTATTTTGTAGTCGCTGTCGCGTTTGTCATAAAGTTCTTTATGTTCCGACACCAACGAGACCAGCAGCTCTACATTCATCTTGCCTCGCATCTTCCTCGTCTTATTTCTTCCTGGCAGTGCAGACCATAGATATCCATAATAAAGGCCATTGGCCAGCAGCGCGGACGAGACATCTAGCCTTTATTATGGATATCTATGGTGTGTAGACGCTACTTGGCGCATCTTCTTCGCCGTTACGTTTGTGTGTTCGGCAAGACCGTTTTGTGTTTGAGCGCCCCCAAGTTGTGTTTTACTGTAACTTCAGAAGCTCCAGACACGTGAGCAAAAGCGCCAATCTCATTGGTCGGATAGTTTTTGACGCGGCGCGTCAAACCAAAAAAACGAACCCGAGGCGTTTTTTAAAAAATGACGCTTTTACGCGTGCCGTTTTTCGCGTCGGTGTGCACACTCACATAGGCGCCCTTTGTTTAGTCACGAGGCGTTAAACGTCGGCGAATAACGCGCGCGAAATTCGTCCCGGTGTGAACAGGCCTTTAGTCTTAGTTTTAGTCAACAATTACAACAATGTCTATGTAACACAAACATAGACAAACACAAACATTTGCGTTCGGTTGTCCTCACAGGCTGCACAGAAAAACCTGATGTGACCAGATCATAAGCAAATTACTCTTATGAGAAGGTTTTGTTTTATTGAATCATTCAAACACACACACACACACACACAGTAACCAGTTTATCAAAAACCAAATATCACCGAATACTTTTAGCGAATACCTTACTGAATGAATGCACCGAATCAGTGTAGCTACTGAATCAACACAGCGCTGGTCACTTGGTTTTCACTGCGTCCAAAATCTAACACTTCCCTACTATATAGGACACGAAAAACAGTACGCTAAAAGAGTGGTATGTCTGAATATATAGTATTCGAAAAACAGTACGCTAAAAGAGTGGTATGTCTGAATATATAGTATTCGAAAAACAGTACGCTAAAAGAGTGGTATGTCTGAATACATAGTATTCGAAAAACAGTAGGCGAAAAGTTCCGGAATGACTGGTAAGAATAGTGTACTACTACCATCGAGATTCTGAAGTACACATACGATGGATGCTTTACTATCCCATGAGGCCATGGGAGAGGATTATTTAATGGCAGTGCAGCGACGTAACTGACAAGGGTTGGTCACATGATAAATAACACCATGGTGGATTCATACTACACACATTCATACTATATAGAATATTCTTTTTTAACCATCATTAAGTAAATCCAAATTCAATTGTAGTACCTGCTCGGACAGTATGCGATTTCGCACACAGAATATGTGGGAAGCCCCGCCCACAGTGAAATCTCATTGGTCCAAAATCCCGTTCCACATGGCTGTTTATTAGGCATCAAATCTTAGGCTTTTTCCTCTCACTCTGGTTCTCTTTCTCTCCCTCGCCCCTTATCTTTTCTGTGGTGTAGTTTGGCAGAGATCTGTGTGACAGCAGTGAGATTGTTTTCTCTCTCAGCAGGTAGTGAGACGAAAAGAAAAAGATCAAATTCACTTGGCTTATTGCATGCTTAAAATGCTTACCTCTCTCTTTCTCTCTCTCTCTCTCTGTCTGTCTGTTTTCCCAGGGTGCTGTTTTGTCACATTCTACACACGGAAAGCTGCCCTGGAGGCCCAGAATGCACTGCACAACATAAAGACCTTAACTGGGGTGAGTGTTTGTTTATCTGCTCATGTCTGTCTCTCTCTGAAAGCTAGCGAGGCAGAGAATTCCTCATTCAAACGACGACAGTTTCAAGTTTTTAATCAGCTTTCCTTTTGTTAGAGGTGGTAATTCAGGAAAATGTATGAAGTCGGGTTGGGGAAACGTTAATGAGTTTATAGTTTGCGCTTCCTGACGTAGCGAGTGATGTAGTCGTGAAACCAGAGCCCTTGCACTCGAAATCCGAACTCAAAATAGTCACGTTAAAAAATTTGGGGTCGGGAAGATTAAAAAAAATTCTGTTCGAGACCAACAATAATTATTTGTAATTTATTTTAAATTAAAATTATTTTAAATATATATGTTGTGGCTGATAACCAATAAATGGCAGATATTGAAATTCTAAACTATTTTTTATCAAATAAATAAATAAATAAATAAACCGATGGGTTTATAGTTTTGCAAGCGAATTTAGGCATTGCAACATCATATTATACAAAAATAAAATATCCAAAAAATTCATTTTGAAATTTGAGACACATATCCAATATCAGCCGATACCCCTAAATTAAAAAATCTCAAATATCAGCCAGTAACCGAGTACCCACAAAAATAGCGAAATAGCGAACCAGACTGTGTGTGTGTGTGTGTGTGTGTGTGTGTGTGTGTGTGTGTGTGTGTGTGTGTGTGTGTGTGTGTGTGTGTGTGTGCATGAAACAGTATGGAAGGTTACTGTCCTTTGTAATAAAATGAAATGTAAGGTTGCCCATACAGTCAAAACAAGATTTATTTGATGAAAACATAATAGTGTTGTCATAAAACTGACAGATGAATTGTATTCTTGCTTTTAGTGTCTGTGTTTACTCTCATTGTTATCTTATCATCTTTTTGTTTCGTTTTTCCTATTCTGAACTCTTTAGCCCACGGCAGACCTAGAGATGTCACATAAGATTATCATATCAATTGCTGCCATAATCAGACCGTCTCTGAACGGCGTGTGTGCGAAGGCTAATGTAGGACATGTCTGTTAAAGTGTCCTCCAGCTGTGAACGAATTCATCTCCTTCTCTTTCTCTCATTATGTGATTGTACATTAATTCAGTTCACTGAAGACTGCTTTCACACTACAAGATCAGTTTAGTGTTGGCAATATGCTTGTTGTGAAGTTTTCGGTCAGTAGACATTTGTAATAACAGTCGCGTATGAACAGGTCCAAATGTAATCTGAAGACTTGAAACTTATTTTGATGGAAAAATTGCAGAATTATGCTAAATGGATTTTAAAAACGTTGGCTGAGGCTTGGGTATTTGTTGAATTTGATCAATGACAGGCATTCCAGTTCTGTAGAGATGTACGAAGTTCTGTGATAATGTTTATTTGTAAAACGTAATAAAAAACATAGCAAAAGTAAACAAAATAACTAATTTATTTTATTTTACTACCAAAATAGACACTTATATCTCCCTATTGGTCTATTTGATTGAGTTGTTTAAAACATTTCCTCCGTCGAGTGTGTGTCAGTAGGTTTTCTGTATTTAACTTTGACAGATGTTATCAATTACACCGTCTGAATTGGTTTCAAGGTGTCGTCTGGTTGAGATTGTTTGCGAGTGTGTGCGTGCGCTCCATTAAAGGTAGTTGCAATATTTTTTGGTTTAAAATTAAATATCATTCACTGCTGCTGTGTGTGTGTGTGTGTCTGTGTGTGTCTGTGTGTGTGTTCAGGAGAGTGTGGCAGCTTATAAATTCCCCACTGTGTGCCCATCTGTCTGACTCTTGTGATCTTTCACCCAAACACACCGTGTGTCATCAAACTACTGGACTACACACTCAATCATGAAAAAAAAGGTTTTTCGTGCGATATTCCCCCATTATCAGAACTGGAACAGTTTGTATCACTCCGCTTGCAACATTTCTCACAGAGAGTGTCATGCCGGACAAGCAGCAAACCAGGGAATGTAGTTTTAAGAGTTGTAAGGCAAGAATGTAGTTATTTAGACCTTCTTATATATTATTTAGGCAACTTATATATAAACATAGTGCATATTTGACAATTTGTTTCGACGTTTTCGCAGATGCTTTTATTTATTGTAGATAGATGGTGTTAAAACATGAGGTAGAATTCATCTTGGCCATTTCAAATGGGCAGTCTTTGCTCTTATTAATCTATTACTTGTTCCAGAGCAAATTGATTTGGCTAAGGGCATAGTTTCAGAACTTAATATTTATATTTAACTGAAATCCTGAAGGCTACAATAACTAGCGCTGCTTTTGTACTTTTGACTGAACTGTTTGCTTGTGTTTATTTCCTATTGTACAAACTTCTCATTTATTTATTTATTTGTGCCGTCAAACTGTTGTATAAAGACAATATCACACGAGGAGCCGTGCGATATCGTGTTATAAACTCACGATTCTTCGGAAAAAAAAGTCATATTTGTGAGGTATTAACGCAGAAATGCGACATACACGGATGAGCCAAAGCATTATGACTAGTCACAGGTGAAGCAACTATCATTGATCATCTAAGAAGTCCACATATTAAACTCTGGTTAGATAGACAAACATGTTGGATGCAGGAGAAATGGGCAGGAATACAGATCTGAGCGACTTTGACAAGGGTCAAATTGTTATGGCAAGGCGACTGGGTCAGAGTATCTCTGAAACGACAAGGCTTGTGTGTTGCTCCCGGTCAGCAGTGCTGAGAATTTATCATCATTGGGCCGAGGAGGGACAAACCTCAAACCGGAGACGGGGTGCTGGGCACCCAAGGCTCATCGATGCACGAGGGCAATGAACTCGTCTGGTCCGAGTTAACAGAAGGTCTACTGTGGCACACAACATTTTAATGATGGTTAAGGGGAGGAATTTGTCACAACACATTCTGCATATGGGCTGCATAGAGTGCTGCCTGATCACCATGATGTTATAATATCATAATACACACACTGCACACAATTGACATCATCACTGTGGTTGGAGTCAATTGTTATTTGTGGTGATACAATGAAACATGCCAAATTGTGCAGAAATACTTTTTGGCCTGGCTGTCATACAGCGAATTTATGAACATGCAAAAACAAGAGAGCCACAATGAAATGTTAATAAATGATAACGTTTTTTCCTGTGAGCTTTTTTTCTTTTCTTTTTTAATAAAGCCTTTTTTCTTTTCTTTTTTTTGCCAAATAATTTTGTCAGATACATAGCCCTACATCACTTTTAGCCACTACTGTATATATAATTTAATAATTAATGAATTTTTTTACCGTTAGTCTGTGTCCAGAGTGAACAAATGGCATCAAACAACAAACCTTGGTGTTTTAAAACTTGTAAGTATTCTAGCCACGGTCAGAAAGAGCGTTTGTGTCCTACAGGATCAGAAGCCTGTAGAGGAAGCCGGCAGCATGGCAAACCATCAGAGACCGTGGATGTGTGGGTGTGTGGTGAAGGTCAAAGGTCAGAGTTGAAATGAAGTGAAGGGAGATCTTCAGTTATTTCTGACTGCTTTTATAATTCGATCCAACCCAAGAGTTATGAAGCTGTCATTCTGTCTTCAGCTGCATATGTCCAATGCTTTCAGGTGTGTGTTGTGAGAGCAAGCATGTATATTTCATGAGGAATGGGAACCAGAGCATGATCTCTGTAATTAGTGTCATGGCCTTTAATAGGAGAGGATGACAAAAGACGGCTGCATGTCCACACACACACACTTACAGAGAAGTGTGTGTGTGTGTGTGTGTTGGACAGATCTGGTAGTATATCAAAGCTGCTGGACACAAATTTGTAGTTTTGATCCACAAAGCTGAAGGTGTTCCAAGAGGAGGAGAGACTTTGAGAAATAGAAAGAATAAATAGATGAACAACCAAAAGCAGAAGTGTAGTCTTAGCGGAATTAAAAAAAACAGCACAACAGAATCCAACAGAACACAGGAGATTCAAGACAAGCTTTTAATGTGAATTTCACAATGATTTGCGTTTAATTTGACTATAAAGTTTCCTAAAGATTGTGCCAGTAATTGAAAAGCATCCTGAAATTTAAAGCTCAAATGAGATTATTTATATATATATGTACATGAATCAGTTCTAGGTAAAAATAAAAATAAAAATATTCTGACTTAAACAAACATTAAAGACAAAAATACAAAAAACTATGTAGTCTACATGACACAACACCTTAAAAACAAAAGGCTGAAGATACAGCATGGCACAATGAAACCTCCAAAAACATCTATCTTGACACGTATGTGCATAGACTGACTATTAAAAAATAGAGCAGACAAAAAAAATCGTTGGATGGAGATTAAGAGAACAAGAACAAGTACTCGAGAGAAAGATGGAATGCAATAAACATTTCATCGGCAAACTGCTGACAAATCACCTTCATCAAACCCCGACACGCGTACGTCTTCATTCCGCCAGCGTCTATCGAGATGAAGAATCGAGTCAGCGGAAAAAATGACGACACATTAACGAGATTACAGCGATAATGTAGAACATCAGTGCGCCAGTGAGACGAGCTTGATTATGTGCTGGCGTGAGCGTTAATGAGTGTGTTGTAGTAAATGTGCTGTTTGTGTAAATGTAACCCGTGTGTGTCCTGTGTTTCAGATGCACCATCCCATACAGATGAAGCCCGCAGACAGTGAGAAATCAAATGGTGAGTGTCTGTATGCGTCTCTTGTTTTTCTCAAGTCGTCCGACTGTGTGTTTGTTCTGGGGGTTTGTCTCTGTGGTTGTGTCTGTGTGTGTGTGTGTGTGTGTGTGTGTGACTGGGAGATGGCTGAATTATTGAAACCCAGGAGGGCCGCGGGTCAAGAATAGTTTAAGTGTTTGCCCTGGTAGTGAACCGCACACGTATACACACACTCAAATAAATCATATCACTCACAAAAAGATTTTCTAGATGTGGTTAGGAAGTCCACTGAAAAGGAGCTGGTGCTTGACCAGGGGATTCGCAAAGCTCTTTCAGACTTTGACTTGACAGCCGAATGATGACGTAACTATGAGGACCATGTTACTACATAACATGCTCACAAGCAAACATGCTGTATCATGGTTATACTGCGGTTTACTTTATATACAGCACCATACAAAAATTAGGGGTCAGTAAGATTTTATAATGTTTTTGAAATAAGTCTCTTATGCTCACCAAGGCTGTTTATTTGATCAAAAATAAAGTAAAAACAGCAATATTGTGAAATATTATTACTAGTGCTGTCCAATCGATTAATCGCATCTAACATAAAAGTATTTGTCTACATAATATGCTGTATGTGTGTATATATATTATATTATGTACATTATATATGTTTCTGTGTTACACATATATGTCTGTATATACACACACACACACATATATATATATACATAAATGTTTGTCTGTATACAGTATACACACACAGACGCACACACACACATATATATATATATATATATTAGGGCTGTCAAATGATTAATCACGATTAATCACATCCAAAATAAAAGTTTGTGTTTACATATTATATGTGGGTGCACTGTGTATAATTATTTTGTATATATATATAAATACACACACATGCATGTATATTTAAGAAAAAAATATTATTTATATATAATATATTTATATATAATATAAATTATATATAAATCTATATACAGTATATACATGAAAATATTTCTTAAATATATACAAGCATGTGTGTGTATTTATATATATAAAATAATTATAAAGGGGAACCAACATATATTATGTAAACAAAAACTTTTATTTTGGATGTGATTAATCACGATTAATCATTTGACAGCCCTAATATATATATATACTGTATATAGTATGAAAACAAAAAACTATTAATCGCGATTAATCGATTTGACAGCACTAATTATTACAATTAAAATATTTGTATTTTCATTTTCATTTTAGATGTCATTTTAGTCATGTGATGGCAAAGGAGTCATTACTCCAGTCTTCTGTGTCACATGATCTTTCAGAATACATTCTTATATGCTGATTTGGTGCTTAAGAAACATCTCATTATTATGGTTGTGCTGCTTAATATTTCATTTTTTTCAGTCAATAGAAAGTATAAAAGAACAGCATTTATATCATTTTAAAATCATTTGCCACTTTTGATCAATTGAATGCATCCTTCCTGAATAAAAGTATTCATTTATTTTTAAACAAATCATACTGACCACACATTTTTGTAAGTTATATATTTAAATGTATCATAAATGACTAATAATCATTTCATTAATAATCAAATAATTTCTGAAACAGAATTATTTGCAAAAAAATCTTATCTATTGATTATTATAAGTCAACAGATAATAGATAATACAAAAATATATATATTTGTTAGTGTGCACAATTCGCTGCATGTCATTTCAAAGAACAAATATTTGTTGTAGTATTTCCTTCAAAATGTAATAACTTGTTCTGCCCCTGAAATGACTTATTATGGAAATAAAATGGTTTGCAAATAGCATTTCATATATTTTCTTGGGAGTCAGATTGGGCTCGTCGCTTGTTCGGTGGAAAAGGATCTGTGCCTCTGAGTGACAGTGGTGTTATATACATGACCCTCTATAAGGCGTCTCACATAGATGATATCATATCAAATGTTTACTGTAAACACAGCTGTAATGCATTTATTCTGCTCATTAGTGAACACTGTAACCCATCAAACTGGGAACCCTGCTCCTGTGTGTGTGCGCGGTTAATCTTCTGATTTGACACTGTGTGTGAGTAAAGACGAGGCCTTTGAAACAGCACTTATCGCTGGCTCATCCTGTCGCTGTTAAATGCACAAACAATTCAAACAGCAAAATAAACAAGTGAGCTATCGATTTCCCAGAGTGCAGCGGCTTGCTTATCGGCCGCCCAGCGGTAAGAGCTGACACATTCTTCATTAAAAAAAATTGGATTACAGTTGCCTCTCTCTCTCTCTCTCTCTCTCTCTCTCTCTCTCTCTCTCTCTCTCTCTCTCTCTCTCTCTCTCTCTCTCTCTCTCTCTCTCTCTCTCTCTCTCTCTCTCTCTCTCTCTCTCTTTGTCACTCACTCAAGCATACACAACCCCACACAACTGAAAACCGTCACCAAATATACAAATATATGTTCTATTTATCTCTCTCTTTTTTTTTGTTCAGTCCTTTTCCCATTATGCCGATCATTTCAGATTAGAAACATCTGAGGGTTCGCACTTTCTCACACTGCCTTCAAGTTTTCATTGATATTTACTGTATGGAAGCCCATTTCCACTTCAGAGTAATGAGTGACATTGTGGTAATTGTGATAAAGGTAAGATTTAAAGTCACAGTTGGAGGGTATGGATCTGCAATTTGTTTTATTTATTGTATTGTATTTCATTTACTTTAAGTTTGAAATGTGTTTCCATACATATTCACGAGATCACACTGTAAAATGTGTTAAATTGAACTGGATTTTGACATTTTATTTTACGGTCTTCTAGGATGCTGAAAGCTAAATCAAATCAGCCCGAAAGATTCCATACAAGCTTATATGTTGTTCTTCAGTGTAGTTTGCACGCATTCTATCTACTGTTGATGAAAAATAGCAATACAGTTTGCCTGAAATGACTACGCATTTAGCCAGTTAATGGGGTGAGCAACAAAACTACATTTCCCATCATTCTATGTGGCAGATAATGATGAAATACATAGATAAAGCGTCAATTACACTCCTAATGCACAATTTCCTCTTCATTTTGGTGCATTAGTGTTAAAAGAGCTTTCTGTCTTTATGAACTGTAAGAGAGACTCAACGCATCCATTTTATTTCGACCAAAAATGCACATCGCATCATAATTACGGCCTCCGAGCTCGTAAATAGAAACATCCCAGGAGGACTTGAAGGCAGCACACACAGATTACAGGCGAAAGAGAGCGCCTGGGTCATTGAAAGAAAACATCAAAGAGAACCAAACGCAAATTTGCTGTTGTGTGTGTCTAGGCTTGATGTGCTAATGAGATGTTGATCACGTGATCACACCTTTTTTTTTTCCACACGTTGGTCTCATTTGTTTTCTCCACCCTTCCTATCGCTCAGCGGTGGAGGACAGAAAGCTGTTCATCGGCATGGTGTCGAAGAAATGCAATGAGAACGACATCCGGGTCATGTTCTCTCCCTTCGGACAGATCGAGGAGTGCCGCATCTTGAGGGGACCAGACGGACTCAGCCGAGGTGAGACACACACACGTACTGTATATATATATATATAGATCAAGGTTTCGACATTTGTTTCTACTTTTTAAAAGGAAGCATATGGTGGAAAACAAGATTTTTCTTTCTTGTTTGAAATAATTTGATGTGTGCTTTAGCAATCTCAACGCAAATGTGAAACTAACACTATGAGCTAAGCCGGTGCGATTGCAATGAAGCATCACACTGGGTAGCCACGCCCACAGTGAAACCTCATTGGTCAAATAAAGCATTCCATGTATCTATATATTAAATGAAAAAATATGTTCTGATTGGCAGTGATTGTTTTGCGTCACTCAGAATTTTCACTTTCTATGGGGACACACTGGACTGGACACTGTAAGCAGCAAAAACGTAAGCTCATTAACATATGCCCGCCCACATTTATACATCAACACCTATTCAGTATTCAGCCGCTTGTGCCGTCCTGACGAAAAACAGGGTGAGCTACCAACACAATCTCATGGCAGTTTGTAACTATTTTACGTAGATCTTATTCATATGTTTTCGTACAATCTGCTTACACACCCAATGATGTTATGGCTTCCGTTTTCTCTTAAAAAAAAACATACACATTGAACAAATTTATACAAAATCGCCACCTCGTAAAATAGTTAGGTTTTCTCGTGAGATCTAGTTGGAGCTACAGCAGACATAACTAATCATAACAGGACTCATGTACATATAGAAGTCTTAAAGGTAACAGTAGCAAAATCAGACTCATTTCGTTATTCAGGTCACAGTAAAAAAATTGCTTTTTTGGTGCAAGAAACTTGCTGTAAATTGATAAAAAATAATTAATCAAAATTTTTACCCCCAAAAGATCATTTAACGTCATTATTGTGTTCAATGAGAAAAGCATCAAATGGACATTACAAAAAAGTAGCTTCAGAAAGAAATATTTTATATAATTCGACAGATTTTATTACACACAAACTTATAGGCTACAACGGCCATTATTTTTGTAGCTCCATTGTCGATTACCATTGATCGTAATTTTAACTTTTATTTCATCTTGGAAAAAAAACAAGCTTTTGAAATGCACTTATACTGTAAGTCTATGGAGCAACTGTTGTACACTTGGCCAATTGACCTCCATTGTAAGTGAAAAACCTTTTTAAGTCACTTAGCCTTCAAAAAAATCGAATTTTACAAACTGAGACAATTGTGCACATTCTGATCAAACGTGGTGGTTAGAGATACTGGTTAGTGTTTTTTTTATTCCAGAATCATGGGAATATGTGTGGTACATGATAGTGTTGAAGACTTTTCCAGCTCGATGTAACCTGTAGGGAATTACACCTCCATCTTCCCACAATGCTCTGCTTTCGCATACAGCCCTCTTATATCAATCATTTATCCTCCTCATCCACTCCTCTAGTCGTCCCTCCATCCTCCGCTCATTCGCGGTACTCCTCCACAGTCCTTATTTTTTTCCGTCTTTCCCTCCTGTCCTCATGAATATTTTAATTCCACAGGAGATTAACTTTATTCCCTGAGCTAGTGGTTGGAGATATATTCGAAATGCTTCAATGAGAGGAACTAGCACCCCCTCCCATAAAAAAAGGATTGGATGAATAAATAGATGAGTAAATGCGTACGTAAATGAGGTGTACGCTAAATCCCATGGAGTAGGAAGACTTTACCAGGACTCTCGCATCGCTATTAACGCGGTCTATCAATCATCATTGAACTTCACTATTAATAAAATATAGATCAGGCCACATGTGAGCGCAGTGCCCTGGGAGCTACCCCACTTTCTTCAAAAAAACTCATCTCTCGCTCTCTCTGTCCTTCCGTATCGCACCACATCCCTCGTTTATTCCCTTTCGATGACACTGGCAGTTATTTATACCTTGTTTGCATTGTTTTCGCCACAACTACGGCAAAAAATATAGTCACTCAGTCATTATTGCGAGAAAAATACCTGAATTAAAGTAAAAATTATTTCAATATGTGAAAAGAAAAAAACATGGCACAGAAAATCAGTCCCATGTGACAATTATGCCGTTTTGCTCTCATTATGCGAAAATAATTTGACCCCGGAATGCTACGATTGACCAATCAGCATCAAGTATTCCAGAGGGCTGCTGAATAAGAATAATTAATCGCTTTCTTTGGAAACTCTTTCATTCGGTCTCCTCGTTAACGGCTTATCATCTCAACAGATCAGAGTTCGTTCGAGCAGTGAACAAACTCTGCAGTCGCAGGTCAGCAAAAACGAGGACTTTGAGAGTTGAAAGAAAAAGTTGTTTTTTTCTCCACCACGAGATGGTTTCTCTAGAGTTTCGCACCAAGCCAGTGCCCACAAATATCACCCTTCGAGTGTCCAAAGCTGCTTTAATGATGAGGCTAATTAAACAGCCTTTCATTGTGCTTTCACTCGTGGCGGTGCTCCGGTTCACTAGCCGGGGCCAGATTCACCCGCTCTGAAGACAGAAAGGAGGTTGTATTGGAGTGGTAGCGAGAAAAGAGAAGAAAGGTAGGTCCGCTAGAGCAGGTGGCTGGTGCCAGCAGATATACAGCGCAACCGTGTGGTTCTAGCACTGTATTGCAGGGCACAATTATTGCTGACTTTAAGTCACGTGGGTCATTAACATGATGCTATTTTTTTTTTTTTTTTTTTCATTTAGTCAAAAATGCATTTTATACATACAATAAATACACCTCCTAAATGAAGAGTATCTTTTAATTTCTGAATTAAAATGAATTTTGGTATTTTTGGATGGGGGTTGTAAGGGATGTTGCTTAATATTTTTGTTTTATTTATTAATTTTGTCCGTCAAATCAAAGTTTGATTCAAAAATCATATGGTGCAACCAACATCTTGCAGACCAAAGTAAAATATTTAAATATTTCTTAAAATATTAAATAATTAGACTTTATTACAAGGCAAGCTTAGTTCAGGTTGTAAAATGTCATGTGGTGCAACTCCCCAAAAACAAAATTATATTTATAAATCAATAATTAATGATATGTGTTACCGTTTATTAGTACTTACTTACGATTCACATGTATTCAAGGAGTAAGAAAAATATTATTAATTTTACTTGGTTACACCACGTCACACCACCTTGTGAAATGTCATTTGGTATTTTTGTCAAAATGGTATTTTTTTAAACATAAATCCAACTTTTTTTTTAAAACGTGTGCAACTGAATATTATTTTATTTTATTTTATTGTGAAAACTCTTATATGTCATTGACCAATGTGAGACGAGCAACCACTATGTCCTCATTTCCAGTGTAAATGTCGAGATTTTCTTGAAGAATCGTGATGAAATCGTAGTGGTATTGATCATAAGTTGTAATCGTGAATGTTGCATGCACTGTATTTCATATGCAAATTATGCACTGTGGGTGAAGAATATCGAAAGCTTTCCAGAAAGTACTACTTATTTAACCAGATTATAAGATGACAGGTTTGTGTGCGACAAAACTACATTTCCCATCATTGTCTATGGCAGCATGAGAATGTTGCAGTATAGGAAAAAAGAGAAACTAGTATAAAATTGACAAGCATGTTCATGTTATTCGGGCCGACAACACATCACATCGTAAATAGTTTCCAAACTTAAAATAAAGTACTCGAAGGAAGCATTTATGAAAAGACAAGACGACAAGTCTTTTGTTCTTTCTCCTCCTCCATTCTTTCACTCCTCTCTCAGCGCATTCGCATATGTAGACGTGTAAGAAGTAGTTAACCCATTAACTAGACTGTCCATGCATGTGAGCATGTCTGTGTCCTCAATATGTAGAAATCTGCTGGACTGCACAGTAGAGTAGAGCTCTTCAAACAGGGTTGCGATTTCCCCCAGCATGCCTCCATATGGCCTGTTCCTCTGGCTCCCGCTTGCACCGCTTCGGTTCCAAGACTCCTTGTCCCAGATGCCATTGCAAGCTCTCCTGAAACACACACTCGCCTCCAGGGATTACTCGGCTTGATTATACAGTTATTTAAAAAGGAATATTACATATTTATGTTTTTTTTTAATGTATTTTATTTTTGTGTACGCATTTATGTACAGATGAAAAAAAAAACTGGGTTGGTGGGGAACTGGGGATGTTAAAAGTACGATACTAAAATAATTTTGTGTGAAAATATTTGTCCTTTGGCCTTTCGGTTTAGTTTCAGCTTATGTCAATAATATTTACAAATAAAAATACTGAGAGGAAAAAGAGAAAATCACTCACTTCCATTCAACTTTGAAGCACAAATTAAAATATTTTGAATGAAACTTGAGACACTTCTGTCCCTCAGTTGAAAGTCCATTCCACCAAAACTTTTAAGCTTCAAAAAGGTCTTAAAGACATGACCAAATTTTCAATTTTGATTGAACTAACCCTTACATTTATCATTTATATAAATTTAAAAATTTTAAATAAGAGTGTCATGTTTTTGTTGTGGTATCAAAATTGGAATCGGGAAATTTCACTAGCATTGGTATTAACAATTGAACTATTGGTATCGCAGTAACCCTACAGGTAGAGTTGGGGCGTGACAAAGTACCGTGTGTGTGTGTGTGTATGTGATGACACTAGCCACACACTCTAACCCCTTTAGCCATCACACCAAACAAAACTAAAGAACTGATACCATTGCTGATAGTCATTTTGTTGAGTGTGTATTTTGAGATGTTGAATGTTGAATGTTTATCTGAAGCTGAATGTTGAATGTTGATTGTTCTATTCTAGCAACTGTATAGCACTGTTGTCTGCTGTGTTCTTTGTACGATCTTTGTTTTTTGGCTTTATAACAACCTGTCCAACCCTTTTGTCTTGTTTTGTTTCTCTCTCGTCTCTCCTCCTTCCTCTCCTCTCCTCCCTCCCTCCCTCCCTCCCACGTCCCTCCCCTCCTTCCTGCAGGATGTGCGTTTGTCACGTTTTCTACCAGGGCTATGGCACAGAATGCAATCAAAGGCATGCATCAGTCTCAAACCATGGAGGTACTGTACCCTTGTCTTCTCTCTCTCTCTCTCTCTCTCTCTCTCTCTCTCTCTCTCTCTCTCTCTCTCTCTCTCTCTCTCTCTCTCTCTCTCTCTCTCTCTCTCTCTCTCTCTATCTCTCTCTCTATCTATCTATCTATCTATCTATCTATCTATCTATCTATCTATCTATCTCTACTCGGTTCCAAAACCTAGTGAGCTACTGTATGTAGGCATAATTTTAAGGGTGTGCTACCCCTCAGGTGTGCTTCCAACCTACTTTTTGACATCCTTCTAATACAATAATGCATTGTGCTGAGCTCAGTGAAAAAATTCCAAGATACCCTTCTATGATATGTCCGTTATACAAATAATTTATTCAGATCCATGTAGCATCAATAATGTCTAATTAAAAGTCACCAATTTAATTTATGCTTAGTTGTTGTAGTGTCATTGTTAGCTTATCAGCTTCCATCCGAAAATGGTGAACAATACCCATGATCTTGATACTAAAGTAATCCATTCAGTACTGCAAAGTATGTAAAGAAATAGTTCAAATTAAAACTATTTTACCAAATCTTGTGTGCTATTTTAACACAGTCTCATCCCAAGAAGTCATATAACTGACGTCTTGGGACGTCTTTTGACCATGCGTCAATATCCGCCTTTTTAGGGTACCCTTAAACGTCGGTTTATGACGATCCTGGGACGTCATACAACTGACGCTTTACCTTTAACGTCAGGTAGGTGACGGGGTAGGTTTAGGGGTAGGTTTAGGTCTGGGGTAGAGTTAGGATCCGATAACATCATCTAACCGACGTTTAAGGGTACCCTAAAAAGGCGGATATTGACGTATGGTCAAAAGACGTCCCAAGATGTTAGTTATATGACGTCTTGGGATGAGACTGCGCTGGCTATTTTTGTTTTATTCATTAGTGTTGAGTTGTTAGCTTAGCAACATGCTAATACCAAACTCCATTAAAGTCAACGGTGAGTTAAGTGTGGCATTTGTATGAGACACAATTTGCTGTCTATAGAGCATTCAAAATACGAAAGTATTGTTGTTAGCTTAGCAGAATGTTAATGGTACCATTGCACCATTTTTCTGGATGCTCTACTTTGTTTTGCTTATTAGAATATCGGTGTTAGCTTAAGAGCATGCTAATCCCAAACTCTAAAGTACATGATGTATGATTTGTGCAAAAGGTGCCGTGCATTTGACACAAGTTGCTGCCTATGAAGAGTTTTCTAAATAGGTAACGTTTCGGTGCGTTAAAAGTTAATCATGCAAATTTACCTATAAAGCTGCTTAGTTTGCAAGTGAACTAAATTATCACTACACTATTGATAATGAACAATGGATCATCTTTGCCAAAAAAAAAAAAGAAAATCCTAATGTGACCACTTGTATTGAGATTATCGTTGTTAGCTTAGCAGAATGCTAATGTGTCAACATTTACCATTTCGCCATTTTCTTGGATTCTCTGCTTTGTTTTTGCCTATTAGAAAATGGCAGTTAGCTTAACAACATCCCAAACCTATCCCAAACTAGTATGTGAGTAAGCGTGTATGACGCACAAGTTGCTGCCTACATAGAGAGTTCCAAATCAGTCACTTACGAGGATTCATTTCACTCGGATGCTGCCAAGGCAATTAGACTGCTGTAGGCAGCTCACTAGTTTTTAGAACAGAGAGTCTCTTGCTATCTCTCTATCTTTGTCTCTCTCTTATTTCTATTTGAATTGGCGGCCAGTATCACTACCATGTAAGATTTTCCCTATGAAGTTTTAAGTTGCAAGACAAAACTTTTTTTAAACAGAATTTTCCCTCAGTCAGTCACTTTTCTGCAGAACTTTTAACACCATATTAAGTGCCTCTTCGCTCCCTGTTATTACTGTCAGTCATTGCTAAAACCACCCATGGTCAAATGGGTCAAACTAAGAAGGACCCCCCAGACCCACCACCCAACCAGTCCTGCTATTAGAAGACGGGTTTCGTTGTGACGATGTCACAGACGCTTTAATAACAGACCTCCGACGGGCCCTTGCATTGTGATTGCCCTGTAGAATGCTGCAGAGTTTAGCAGTCCGTCTCAGTGCCTGTCAAAATGTCAAAGCTCTGACACACCAAATCAGAGGGTGCTGACAGCTGTCTAATACAGGGTCCTAACTATGCGACTGCGTGTGTGTGCGACTTGCACCCTTATGTCACCACTCTCCACAAATTTCCCAACGTACGTTAACCCTTACAGACATGCTGTTTTTAACACCGACGCCCGGAATTAAAGGCCACCTATTAACCAATCAGAAATCGTTGACTCTAATGGATTTAAGCTGCTTTCTCAAGTCTCTGAAGGCCTGTATTTATCGATTCTTAGCTAAATTCACATACATATTTTATCTTTTTTGTCAGCTGGTCACATTTCTGCACAGTATGTGTCTAAATACGCAAAGGGAAAAGTAATAACCCGGTTTAGATGAGATTGAGTAAATTGTGTTGGATTGTTGTTGTTTTTCCGGCCATCTCTTCGCCCTTCCCTCACACCGAGGAATTTGTGGCCTTTGTGAATGCCATGACTTAATGAAAACGGATATGACAGAGGGTGGTCATGCATGCGCCTGTGCACACACACACAGTTGCGATCGGCCTTGAACATCTCAAAGGGTTGTTTTCAGTGCTGTGGTTTGCAAATGTCTCCCTGGACGTTCATCTCGTTTGATATGTGTTTGTCTCTCTTTATCTCTGTGATCGCGTTGCTGTGTTTGTGTGTGTGTGTGTGTGTCTCCACAGATGCACGTTCGTTTTCATGGGGGTGTGTGTTAGAGTGATTTTTACCTAACCTTTCAATAACGTATAGGCATGTGACCTGGGCATGTTTTTATAAGATTAACCTAAGCGTTACCAATTTTAACATGTACACTTTAGCTTCAATCTACTTCTTTCACATTAGTCAAAGGCTGTAGAGTGTGAGTGTGTGTGTAAGAGAGAAAGACAGAGCGAGTGAGTAATGAGATTTTTTCGGTCTCTTGAGATATTCACTCGGAGATGGCACCACTCGATTGACAGCTTGAGTTAAATCTCATCCCCCCTTACAAGTTTTATTTTTACCTCCCCTCCATCTGAGAGCAGAAATAAGAAAATCAGCTCTCCTAATGGAAGGAACACTGTAGAATGCTCCGGGTGGATGTGAGGCGCACCACCTCCAAGAAACTCAAATGCTCTCTCTCGCACACACACTCGTTCTAGGGTCTGTGATCTTTCATCTTTTTTTTTTTTGTCAGTCTGTGGTTCGCAGTTCAGAGAGAGCACAACAGAAGCGGCAGAGTGATTTATCAGAGTGAATCAGCACCTGTAATGTAGAGACAAGAGACAGAGATGTAGAATAATTGCCTTGAAGCACTCGTCTCAATCTTTCGTCCTCTTGTGGCTCCATACGGCTGCCCTGTGTTAGCTGCCGTTGCCTGAGGAACAGCTTTGATATTAATACATGTAATGGTGTTTCTGAATGTTCTTACTGAACACCGTTTACAAAGTCTTCCTTCTTTAACTTGTGCGCTTGCGTCAGAGAAAATGCTGTTACTTCATGCCGCCGTGATGATTTATATTTTGGTCTGCTCCTCACTCAAAGCAATTAAACGCTTTAGAAGACCTTGAATATATTGAGTGGTTCGTGGTTACTGCTGTTATGGTACATCTTTGGGTGAATTTCATGTCCAGGTCATACCCCCTAGAAGAAAAAAAATAATAATAAGAAAAAATAAATAACGTGCGTTTTGTTTAAATGCAAGAAAACACTTTTTAAATTGTCCAAAATTCAGCTAAATAAGCACATTTCCTTACCACAGTTCTTATTACCATAATGCAATATGTATATATATATATTTGCATCATTAAGACAGATTATTTAAATTGTAAAGTATTATGTTATTGCAGTATATGTTCTGCCTTAAATTTATCCTTTTTGTATTACAAATTACACTAAATTATTGCATTATTGTACTGGAATCTAATTAGACTAAATTGATATATTTGTAAAATGTCTGCCTTAATTATGCTGATTTAAATAAATAATACAAAATAAAATAAATAAATACATAATACAGCACTGTATAACAAAATGTTAAAAAAAAAAAATTAACATAAATAAAACATACAACATTATTGTAATGAGAATTTGGGTTAGAATGTGCTTAATTCTCATAAGAATAATACATAATATTGTATTTTTATACAGGCTACTTTGTGCATAATACATTTTTTCTTTTGATATTGGAGTAAAATGTTACCTGGACTTGTTTTCATCAGATTAACCATTTTGGACCTTTTTTTTATAACCTGGGATTATTATATTCAGCATTTTGCTCAACTTTTGTGAAAAAAACAAAAAAAAACGATGATTTCGAAGACCATGAGAGTTAGTAGATTATGAGTAAATTAAATCTTTTGGTTGAATAACCACACCAGGAACTAACACAAGACTTGCATTATATTCTGACCCTGAGGGCTTTAGTTAAACGGGCATCACCGGTCAGGCCCAAGATGTTTACGTTTGTTTGCTTTCGAGAGAGGCCGAACGCGTGAGAGATTAGCGGAAATGCGGCAGGTCTGCAGGGTACAGCGAGGGCTGTGGGGTGGGAGATCTCGCTCGCTGCCTCGCTCTCTCAGACAGATGATGAAATAGTTTTATAAAGCAGGAAATCGCTTTCCTGGGAAATAAAATCAGCAGCACAGCACAGGACTCTCATTTCACCAAGAACTCCCGTCGCTCCAGCGGTTGTGTGTGTGCCATTATCGGTTTATGCAGTACCTCTGCACAAGATCATTGCTCTTCTAGATACTTAGATTTCCCTCTTTTTTACCCCTTTTTCTCTTCCGCTTTCCTCCTCTCTCTTTCAATCTGTCCTCACAGGGCTGCTCCTCCCCCATGGTGGTGAAGTTTGCCGACACGCAGAAGGATAAGGAACAGCGGCGGCTGCAGCAGCAGTTGGCGCAGCAGATGCAGCAGTTGAACAGCGCGTCTGCCTGGGGCAGCCTGACCGGCCTGACCGGCCTCAACCCACAGTATCTGGCAGTAAGAGGACACACCACGCCCACCAGCAGCACAGCCAGCGCAGCCGCCGCAGTCAGTCACTGTCTCCGCCCACCTGCCCCGCCCCCCACCTCTCTCGCTCTCTCCGAGCTAGTCTTCACCCCTTTCCAAATCTCTCATCTGTAGAACTTCGATCGTACCTCGATCGAAACCGGTCCCCATTCTCCAAACTATGAAGGGTGGTGCTGCCATTTAGAAGCCGTTAGGGCAGTGGTTCTTAACCAAGGGCTCTAAATTTTCAAGGGGGCCTCTTGATTTATAATAATAATAATAATAATAATAAACGGTATTAAAATAATATAAAACGCCTGGTAATCAAGATATTATGGAAGCTTGTTTCCACCACAGAATAAAAAATAAAAAAGGTAATTGCGACTTATCTCACAATTCTGACTTTTTATTTAAGAATTGCGTGATATAACGTCGCAATTGCGTGTTATAAAGTCAGAATTCTGAGAGATAAAGTCAGAATTGCGTGATATAAAGTCAGAATTTTGAGATATAAACTCGCAATTGCGTGTTATAGTCAGAGTTGCGAGAAATAAACTCACAATTGCGACTTTATATCACGCAATTCTGATTTTATAACACACAATTGCGACTTTATAACACGCAATTGCGACTTTATATCACGCAAGTCTGACTTTATAACACGCAATTGCGACTTTATAACACGCAATTGCGACTTTTTTGCCGACAAAAAAGACTCTTGATTTATAATAATAATAATAATAATAAATGGTATTAAAATAAGATAAAACGCCTGGCAATCAAGATATTATGGAAGCTTGTTTCCGCCACAGAATAAAAAAATAAAAAAGGTAATTGCGACTTATCTCACAATTCTGACTTTTTATTTAAGAATTGCGTGATATAACGTCACAATTGCGTGTTATAAAGTCAGAATTGCGTGATATAAAGTCAGAATTGCGTGATATAAAGTCAGAATTGCGTGATATAAAGTCAGAATTTTGAGATATAAACTCGCAATTGCGTGTTATAATCAGAGTTGCGAGAAATAAACTCACAATTGCGACTTTATATCACGCAATTCTGATTTTATAACACGCAATTGCGACTTTATAACACGCAATTGCGACTTTATATCACGCAATTCTGATTTTATAACACGCAATTGCGACTTTATAACACGCAATTGCGACTTTATATCACGCAATTCTGACTTTATAACACGCAATTGCGACTTTATAACACGCAATTGCGACTTTATAACACGCAATTGCGACTTTATATCACGCAATTCTGACTTTATAACACGCAATTGCGACTTTATAACACGCAATTTGCGACTTTATATCACGCAATTCTGACTTTATAACACGCAATTGCGACTTTATAACACGTAATTGCGACTTTATAACACGCAATTGCGACTTTATATCACGCAATTCTGACTTTATAACACGCAATTGCGACTTTATAACACGCAATTGCGACTTTATATCACGCAATTCTGACTTTATAACACGCAATTGCGACTTTATAACACGCAATTTGCGACTTTATATCACGCAATTCTGACTTTATAACACGCAATTGCGACTTTATAACACGTAATTGCGACTTTATAACACGCAATTGCGACTTTATATCACGCAATTCTGACTTTATAACACGCAATTGCGACTTTATAACACGCAATTGCGACTTTATAACACACAATTGCGACTTTATATCACGCAATTCCGACTTTATAACACGCAATTGCGACTTTATAACACGCAATTGCGACTTTATAACACGCAATTGCGACTTTATATCACGCAATTCTGACTTTATAACACGCAATTGCGACTTTATCTCTCAGTATTCTGACTTTATAACACGCAATTGCGACTTTGTATCACGCAATTCTGATAAATACAGTCAATTTTCTTTTAAAATGTTTTATTCTGTGGCGTAAACAAGCTTCCATAAGATATTGTGTTTGTTGTTGTTCTTCACAACCCTCAACAACTCATTTTGTTTTATTTGAAAAAATATGTTTTCCACTGTCTAGAAAAAAACCTGGATATATGACATAGTCTAATTTTAAAAGTGTGATTTCTAGACTCCATGGGTATTTTTATATTGTAGTAGAAATTTAGATTAAAAAGAAGAAGAAAAAAGAAATATATATATATATATATATATATATATATATCAGGAAAAGAAACGAGGCCTTAGAATATTGTTGTGGACAATGTGGGTCCTTGGAATCCAAAAGGTTAAGAACCTCTGCGTTAGTGGATACAACCACTCCAGCTTTCTTGGTACTTTCAAGAAGGCAGACAGAGTGGGAACAGTTTTTTTTTTTTGCAGCCTTAGTTACTGAAGTATTTGTCCCACTCATTGTATTCATTGGCATTTTTTTTTTTTTTTATCTTCAGTGAAACACCTAATAAAGCCATAAACCCAAACCACCCAAGATCAATCACCACAATTCAACAATTCATCCCATGGCATGATGCATTGCAAAGAAACGTAGTTCTAATTAAATAGTAAAGATTAAAAATGAACAATTCATGTAATAAAGGAGTATATATCATCTTAAAAGGTTTATGCAGTATTCTTAAATATCAGTTTCTCTATAGAGAAAATGAAAGCCCCGCTCTGGCTCTGTTGTGTAATTGGATTGGAATGAGAACAATACATAAATTCCCTGTTAAACTCACGGCCATCTTCATCCTCCTAAATATAAAGAGGATACAAACATGGTGGTGACATTTACTTGCATTTTTGTCCATAAGGACAGTGGGTGAGGATTAAAGGACTATGCAAGAGCATTGGGACAGGGCCATCTCTCCCACCCTTCTGCTTCTCCCTTTTCTGCCTTTTCCACTTCCCTGTCATTTTGAGGTTACGTTCAGCTTTTAAGCAGTCTGAGGGGTCTAGTTCAATGTCATCCTAATCCTCTAGAGTCATTTAGAGTCTGCTTTCCTCTCCCCTTTCATGTGCAGAAACTGCCCAGGACAGCAACACACTGCCAGCAGAACTGACGGGCGACTCTTAGCATGACAGTATTCACTGGCACCGATGTATGAGTCTAATACCTTGAAGTGCTCCTCAAGTATTTTGTGATTTAGTTCCTTTAAGTATTTGACATGGTTTTCACTCTCAGCACTGTATTTTGTGAGTTGAGTTGCTCGCAAATGATGGTTTTCGAGAGATTTTCCACAGTTACCATTTCTTGTCTATGAAATATATGAATTTATTTAGCATGATAACCATTCTTAACACAGTGTCCAGTCTCACTGTGTTAAAGTGATTAAAATGGTAAATTACATATCTATCTTAAACTGAGATTTAGTATTAATTGGCCGCATAGCAATAACGTGCCATGCTGCAAACCATTTTATTGGTCACTTTTTGTCATGTTACACTTGAAAGTGCAATTATATTAGACATCACATCAAATATATTTTTATTGGCTGTGATTTTGTTGGTTTGATTTTGTTTATTACATTAAATATGTTGATAAATACAAAATTAGAGCGGGCCCAATCCTAATACTTGAGGAACACCAGTGGCTAAGACCATGCCCTGACAGATAGAGGCTTATGTGTTGCTTTGCTGTTGACAGACTGCTATAGTGTCACTCCAGACAACATGGAACATGGGAACAAACCACAATGTTTCATTTATATTTAGCTAACACTAGCTCCTTCACACATTATCCTTATAAATCCATCACCATAAGCCAATGCATAATAGTGATTACACATTAACGGCCTGTTTTTTTTTCTCTCTTCCTCCCAGTTGCTCCAACAAGCGACCTCCTCCAGTAACCTAGGAGCGTTCAGTGGTATTCAACAAATGGCAGGTGAGATACTGATCTCAGATCTGTTACTACCCTACCCCCATTGTAACTCCTCAACTAAACTCCCATCCCCCCTACTAAACCATTCAACCCAGCTCAGGATTGAATAACAAAAACCCAGTTTGACACCTCAACCCCTGAGCAGATCCAGGATCAGCAGAGGTTCGGCTGTGAACATTGTCATCCTGCCTCAGAGTTTAGTTTCATCATGCTGCAAAATTCCTGGCTTTCTACAATGTGTAGCACACCTAGATACTTTGTAATGTTTGTAAGTGTATGTGTGTGTCAGATTTGATTGAGCCATTCTTTCCACGCCTGTTCCAATGTACATCAAACCCTTTTTTTTTTTTGTTTCTTGAAAGAAGAGTCTCATCATCCAATCACTTTTCCTTGCCTGGGGTCTGTGAGGCTTATAGGAGACCAGATTATGATGATACGCCCCATCAACCATCAGATGCCTTCAGCTTTTTACATTTTCACTTTAGCAATCCTCAAAGAAGAGGAAAAATGAAAATAACCTTATCCAAAGAGGCCACTTATCACTGTTTTTTTCATACCACAAATACCGTCAAATTCACCAGAAACTTGCAGAGAATTCAGCAACAATATGGATCCCTCATTGAAGCAACATGATATGTTATTCTTTCTTCATGCTGACTTAGTTTAGCACTCTGGAATTTGATTAGTGTTTTACAACATCTGCCATTGAGCTCCTGCTTGGTCTCGCTGTTAGACAGGTTGTGTTGTTATATGTTGTTCTCTCTTTGACAGTTTTTTTGCCTCCGACTTAACGCTAGACGCAACAAAACTCTGAGCGAAAGTTTCTATTTGCTCGGTTTCCTTCCCCCCCCCCCCCCCCCCCCCCCGTTTTCAATGTTTTTTTGGTTGTCTTTTGCATTACATTCCCAGTGTGCGTCTCTGTTCTTGTCAGGTCTTAATTGTGGTCTGTTTATCAAGCTGCCAGGCCTTCAAGGAAAGTGAAATATTTATAGCACACGGTCTTGCCTAATTGCAGCTGCTAAGGATGAAAGAAAAAGAACGTATTAGCATCTAGAATGGCTTACAGTTTGTGTAGGATGAGTGCCTTTATCTCCTAAAGCCTTCCCCCCCTGACAACAGTTTTGCACACCAGAGAGTGGCTTCCTCATTAATGTAGGCTCTTGTGGAGAGGTTGAGCAGGACTGTGGTGTTTTTGTTTACCATTATGAAGAGAGTCCTGGAAGCTCTCGTTTAAGTTCAGTGGTACATCTGTGACAGCCTCTCAGCGAGAATGAAGTTCACATTGAGCCAAACCAGCGGCAGCTGCCACCACACAATTAAAGAGCGAAAAATTCCCACATTACCATAACAATAGCATTTTCTGGAACTCATTTTTAAGGCAATATAATTACCAAAAAACAGCTTAGTTTAGACTTTTAATAAAACCGGTTTATTTGCAGGAAAATAATGGGAGTTGGTCACGCATGATGGACGAAGTAGTTTGTTATTATACTTGCAGATTATATACAGAAATGTGTCAGCGCTGGATTAATGGAACCATTCAACTAAAAGAGAAAATTGTGTCATTTGCTCACTGTCGTGTCGTTTCAAACATGTATGACTTGTTTTCTTTTGTGGAACCGAAAGGAAGACATTTTTCATGTCCAAGCTGCTCTTTTGCACATTTATTTACATGTCGTATCACCAAGTTCAACCAATGACATTTGACTTCGCTGATGCCAAACTTGGTACGACACATCTTGATGTTAAATATTTGAATTTACTTCAGCACAAATGAACCAAACTCAACCGATAACTGAAACAAGTACTGAAATACTGAACACACATCTGAAGCAACTAATCAAGGTCTTCGGGATTACTAGAAACCTCCAGGCATGTTAAGCTGTGAAGCTCATGCAAGAGACGCAGGTTTGAATTCGATCTGCTTCATTTCTCCCTCTCCCTTTATACTTTCTTTTGTTCTTTTCTATTGTCTCTTTCAAAGTGGCAAACCGGCCAAAAATGTAAATGTAAAAAGTTCAAAGTAGACCATTGCATAATCCCAAGCCAGAAACCTGTTCAAGATGAGCAGATAAACATATCAAGTCTGTTTGAGACACTACTTGAAGTGCGAATCGACAGGAGCTCTCAAACTCAACAGGATTTGAAGGCTTTTCTCGGCTGAATTGCGAAATCTTTGGACCCCTCCATCTGTCGCCTGGCAACCGTCTATGATTGGCAGACGATATATACAGCTGACATCTGCTGTGTCTGTGCTGTGGGTGGAGTTACGAGCCATAAGGAGCTCCATTACACATGATGAACATTCAGCGAGAGCCAGCATCACCTCTTTCCTGACACCTCTCTCTCCACTCAGTCCGCGAAGAGTGTGAACATACTGCATGGATGGATCTCTCTTTTTCTCTATCTCTCTCTCACACTAGCAGAAGTGCCCTTCTCAACCACAGAATTCACATTGTGCCAAATACCCAATGGCCATGTTTTACACTTGTGTGCCAAAAACTCAAAATGGGTTCTTTTCCGCTTTATTCAGAAGCACAAAGGCGGTCACAAAGCCCTCAATTTCAGAGTCCATTTCCGCCGTAACCTCTCTTTTTGACCCCCCAACACTGCACTTTCTCCTTCAATGACAGCTTTTCTAGCTTCTTTTATACTATATACTATTCAAGCTTGAAGTCATGATACATGGAATCAGAAATGGCCTATTTAATTGATCTTTAGCATTCCTGGTCTTATTGTAAATATTTTTTTTCAAACGAATCACAACTAAATCTTTCATTAAAATGTATTAACTAAAATTACTTTTGTTTCGGGGTGACATCACAAATTCCTTTTGATTTTCAACCCCTTCCTTCAAACCAACTATATTTGAGGCCACTTTTAACAGGTCCTGCCCAACTTTCTCTCTTAATTTGTTCTTGTTAAATATGCAATTTCTTTCACAAATGCCACGTAAAGGAAGTAAACTGGGTTTTGAGAGCCTGTTTAGGACCTGCAACACGTTACGGATTTATCTCTGCCCTTATATCTTGACCTGGGCTTTGTTTTGCAATTAGAGGTAGATTTCCTGCCTCTAATCACCTTCTGTGATGTGCTAATTAGACTCTTAATGCACTCCTCATGCTTGCTCAGTGGATTGGGAGGGCAGACAGCCGTGGCGTCCCCAGAGCACTGTCTGACCAATCCAAATTACATGCTACTGCTGTCTAAAGGGATAAGGCTGGAAAAAACAAACAAAGATATATATTTTTTTTCACAATGGCTTTGGATTCTGTGTTTGAGTCCTTGCTTTCCGTGTCCGTTGACAAACATTAATGTTTACTTGGCGTCTTGCAAGTCCATGAGACTGTAGGGTGTCCCATTTTTCTCATTTCTAATTTTCAGAAGGGTGCTCACAATCTCCCTGCATTTTGTCATGCCAAAACTTGAGACGACAACCAGACAATATTGTGGACTTGTAGGAGGGCGGCATTTTGGGCAGGGGTTATAATTCTCTTGTGCACTTCCCTAACAAACCAAATTCTGTAATTCTGAAGTCTTTTATGTCTCTTGTGTGTGTGTGTGTGTGTGTGTGTGCGTGTGTGTGTGTTTGTGTGTGTGTGTGCTTCCTCATAGTATAGAGTATATACATTTCGCGTGTATATACGACACATGCTGTACATTTTTCTGTTGTACCACTTCCAATCTCTGTCCTTCTTGGCTGCGAGCCACTTCCCGCAGTGTGTTGGCGTCATGGCCACTGCATGTAGCCGTGCCCCAAACACGTTAATCTAGAGTCACCTTTAGAGTTTCTTTTTAGGTAGATGCACCAGAGCCCACGCGTAGAATCAGATAATCTGTACCAAATGCCTCTACACACAGCTCCACTAACTCTTGTACACAAGGACATGCACTCGTAGAGCATTCAGTAGAACATGTGTGGTTCCTTTAGTTTGGCATGCACAGAACACATGCACGCAGACATTGACACTTTCTCTTTCTTCAGGTATGAATGCTCTGCAGTTGCAGAATCTGGCCACTCTAGCAGCAGCAGCGGCTGCAGCGCAGAGTTCGGCCAGCCCGTCCACTGCTAACGCCCTGACCTCCAGCACAGGGTCCCTGGGAGCCCTGGCCAGCCCAGGTAACCAGAGGCTGTCCCAACATCATCATCTTCGATAGCAGTATCATTTCCACCATAGAGTCGTTGTCCCTTCATTTGTCGTAGTTGAGTTCGTCATTCTCTTTGGTGTCTGAACGTCCTCCATCGTAATACTTTTAACTTAAGTTTTCATTGTGTGTGTGTGTGCGTGTGTGTGTATGTGTTTGTATGCGTAGTCCTTGGCACCGTCCATCATGGTTCATGGTCATCATCATCATCATCATCATTGTGTTTGAGAGAGTGTGTCGATATGTGTGGCGTTAAGCTGTTGTGCTCCGTGGCTTTAACCGTGCTCCACTCATTTTTGGAAAAAGTTGACATGTGAAAGCAGGCGACACATTAGTGTGACACATGGTTCTACGGTTAGATTAGCTTCTTTGTGTCTCGCTTTGAAGCTTGAAAATTTCTTTCAAACTTGCATAAATGCAAAAGAAGCAGAGGGAAACGATTGTATATGCTTCAGAGTTCTTTTGTTTCAAAGGGGATGTTTTGTATTGTATTGCTCTTTTCAGAAAACATCATTGTCATCATCATCTTCATGATTGCAATAATCCTCATTGTTTGATGACTCTTATCTTGTCCTTTTTGTATGAAATTTTAACCGATTTCCTTTAGGAATCAATAAAGCATCATGCTTGTATCCATCTGGCCATTTATCCATCTTATCCACTTTATTAAAACTGCATGATATAACCACAAAAAAATAAAAATCTCTCAATATTTTAAATATTTATATATTAAAAGTATATAAATATTTCAAAAAATGCATTCAAATAATTGGTAAATAATCAATGGAGGTTTTCCACACTTTCCACACTTCATTTGCATGTAAAAATACATAATAATAAACAGCAATATTTTCTTACTGTATATGTACAAAGAAATGTACTAAAACATTTTAATAAATGAAAAGTGAATTGTGAGTTTTGATTTGATTCATTGTAACCGACTGTTTCAACTGATTCACAAAATCGAATCAAACTTACCAACGCAAACATGTGTTCTACTGAAGTTTAAATTGGGCTCTATAAAAAAAAATCTTTGTTGACACACAAGTCACAAGATAAGGACGGATTGCAAAATTAGGGTACGTTTACACGACAACGATATTCTTAAAACGAATAAGTTTTTCCTTTGAGTTTCCCGCGTTCAGACGACACCATTGTCAAAACGATCCCCATTCACATGGATCGGCTAATACGACTAAAACGCTGTATTCTGCTGCCAGGCCATTAGATGGCGATGAAACACTATAGACTGAACGCGTTATACGCATGAGCATGACGTCATCGTCTTCAGAGATTCCTTTTTTTGTTGTTTACACGGAGACCGTTTTCAAAAACTTGCACTTTGAAACCCGTTTTCAACACTTAGTGTTTTCAGCCTTCCAAAACGCCGTTGTCATGTAAATGAACGGCCAAAACGCATAAAAAGTTTTACGTTTTTTTGTGTGTCGTGTAAACAGCCCCCTAGTCTGATGATACCCTTTTTAGGAAACCTACTCGGCAAATAAATTGCGCAATAAAATTATTGCAATATTCACAAAGTTGCATAATTGTGTATTGCCATTAAAGTTGCTGTTAATATATCGCCCAGCGCTGCCATCTATCACTGAATCAATCAATCACCCATCCATGCATCCTTCCCTCTGTGTACCTCCACCAAAGCTTTTATGTATGTATCTTTAACCATTTCAGTATCATATGCGACTGTATGTGTGCAATCAAACATCTCTATTTTTCTCTCTTCCATTTCTCCACCTGTCTCTCCTTCCCGCTCTGTCTGTCTTTCCCCACAGCAGGTTCCACGGCTAACTCCGTGGGTGCAATGGGTTCCCTGGGTTCTCTGGGAACACTGCAGGGTCTGGCCGGGGCCACCGTGGGCCTCAATAACATAAATGCACTAGCAGGTAGCGTCAACAGTGAGTACTACCGTCCATCGGCCTTTCCATCTCAATCCATACAACATCATCTCATACCAGCCCCACACTGCGCATAGAGATGCCCGCGGTCTCCCAAACACACACATAGAGGATGTTTCTTATTGATTTACTAATGCTAACTAAGGCAAGGGCATCTCTCTGGGCTTCAGTGAGAGTTTGTTGGGTGACTTTTTCACATGAAGTACTGCTGAAATATTGAAACTGTGTGTGTGTGATTTGTAAAATGCCTCATTGTTAAATCAAATCAGATCTGATCAAATTCATTCGCTAAGTCAAAACAAATGTAACCCATCCCTTGTAGTCGTGAGTGTGTTTGCACCAATCGGCCACATCTCCACACATTCACACATGCTAACACACCGCTAAATCATTGCTCTGGGTGTTTCTATAGACGTGCAAATGTTTTGTCGCTATTGTGTGTGTATGTTGTGTATATGTGTCTGTTTTATGTTAGGTAGGCTAGTCTTATCCATGGAGAGCTAGAAGATGCTGTCCGACAAGGGATGTGGAACACAAAAGCTAATAAAATGCTATCCCCCCCATATAGTCAAAGTCAATGGGGTCCAATGTTGCTTTGGTCCCTATTGACGTTCATTGTATGGTGAAAAATGGACGAAGAATATAATTTTGTTTAGAAGAAAGAAAGAAGGTCACATGAGTTTGGAACGATATGAGGGTGAGTAAATGGACATTTTCAAGAGTTAGTTCACCCCCCAAAAAATGAAAAATTTGTCACCAATTAATCACCCACATGTCGTTGCAAACCCATAAGACTTTTGACTTTCAATGGAAAGATAGGTTTCATTAAAAAAAATATTTTGTGTTTCAAAACTCTTGAAACGGCACTGTTCCTTAAGGTTAATAGTTGGCGTCTGTTGGGTGTTGTGATATATACAGTAGCTGGTAAGCAGATGTTTGGCAGATGTTATAGCCGTTACCACATTGTGTATTATAGCACGACTGGAACGCTGTATTGACAAATCAGCATTCAAGGCCAGGACTATTAATTTTATACTAGAATGTACCTAATGGGCGTTGCAGAATGTAATTAGTATGAATAGGCGAGCTAAAGATCACTGTGGCCTGTGCGTGTGTATATGTCAGTGTGTCGGCACGCGGACAAAATCTCTATCTCCACCAGTGACCTTTTAGCCAGGTCTCTAGTTTTATAAATCAAGCTTTCTTCAACAGACCGGCTACAATTTAAATTCATTCAAATGACTCTCTCTTGCACATACACACACTCCCAGTGCTCATTTAAGAGGCTGTATAGTGTAATTGAATATAAAAGGTCAGTATTGTAATTATTGCTGGATAAATGAGGGAGCTGGCCGTCCAAGCACTTCGCTCATCATTTATTGTTTCCAGGCCGTCAAGCCAAAAGGCCAGTTAGTAAATACTCATGAATCAGTCTTTATAAGCACACACACACACACACACACACACACACACACACTAAGGAACAGTATGTGAACACAACTACTTCTATGCTAGCATGATTTGCTTTGTTGTTTTACATTATGAATATTGGTTGTCACAAGGGACTCAATAGTTTAAAGGATCTTTTTACTGATCTTTTTTTTTCTGTCATAGCTACAAAAATAATGTATCTGATACATCATATAGACTAACATTAGTACAAGGAGAGATTTGAACAAAATGGAATATCCAATTAATCTGTTAATGGAAGAAATAACTGACAGATTATTTGATTATAAAACTGATAGACTAATAACTATTTAATGCCACAGGCATTTGAACTCTATCGCTTGCGATTACTGAGGGTTGTTACTATCGTAAGTTAAGGCTCAGGGATGGTATGAGAACATCAGGGATGTTGTTTGATCCCTGCTGGAAGTGAGACGTGACGTGCTTTTTGATCCATAACCATTGTGCTTTTGACCACCAAAACACCAAACCCCAGGTTGCTCAAGGTAGATTGTTCTTGTAATAAAATGATGGTGCAATCGACATTGTGAATTATGGACCTTGAAGTAGAAATGAATAAATTACAAAATAATAATAGTACAAATATGTATTTAGTTTGAAATGTAGTTTTTTTATTTAAATATATATATATATATATATATATATATATATATATTTATTTTATATATATATACCGGTATATCTTTTTTTTATATGTATTATTAATAAAATAATATTTTATATATGGAGCCCCTAAAGAGACATGGTGATGGAAAAAGATATAAGATTGGAGGAAATTATATTTCCATTGACTTAACATTGACATATAATTATGAATCCTGAAAAAAATAAAACATTATGTATATATACACTCACCTTAAGGATTATAAGGAACACCATACTAATACTGTGTTTGACCCCCTTTCGCCTTCAGAACTGCCTTAATTCTACGTGGCATTGATTCAACAAGGTGCTGAAAGCATTCTTTAGAAATGTTGGCCCATATTGATAGGATAGCATCTTGCAGTTGATGGAGATTTGTGGGAAGGACATCCAGGGCACGAAGCTCCCGTTCCACCACATCCCAAAGATGCTCTATTGGGTTGAGATCTGGTGACTGTGGGGGCCATTTTAGTACAGTGAACTCATTGTCATGTTCAAGAAACCAATTTGAAATGATTCGAGCTTTGTGACATGGTGCATTATCCTGCTGGAAGTAGCCATCAGAGGATGGGTACATGGTGGCCATAAAGGGATGGACATGGTCAGAAACAATGCTCAGGTAGACCGTGGCATTTAAACAATGCCCAATTGGCACTAAGGGGCCTAAAGTGTGCCAAGAAAACATCCCCCACACCATTACACCACCACCACCAGCCTGCACAGTGGTAACAAGGCATGATGGATCCATGTTCTCATTCTGTTTACGCCAAATTCTGACTCTACCATCTGAATGTCTCAACAGAAATCGAGACTCATCAGACCAGGCAACATTTTTCCAGTCTTCAACTGTCCAATTTTGGTGAGCTCTTGCAAATTATAGCCTCTTTTTCCTATTTGTAGTGGAAATGAGTGGTACCCGGTGGAGTCTTCTGCTGTTGTAGCCCATCCGCCTCAAGGTTGTGCGTGTTGTGGCTTCACAAATGCTTTGCTGCATACCTCGGTTGTAACGAGTGGTTATTTCAGTCAAAGTTGCTCATCTATCAGCTTGAATCAGTCGGCCCATTCTCCTCTGACCTCTAGCATCAACAAGGTATTTTCGCCCACAGGACTGCCGCATACTGGATGTTTTTCCCTTTTCACACCATTCTTTGTAAACCCTAGAAATGGTTGTGCGTGAAAATCCCAGTAACTGAGCAGATTGTGAAATACTCAGACCGGCCCGTCTGGCACCAAAAACCATGCCACGCTCAAAATTGCTTAAATCACCTTTCTTTCCCATTCTGACATTTAGTTTGGAGTTCAGGAGATTGTCTTGACCAGGACCACACCCCTAAATGCATTGAAGCAACTGCCATGTGATTGGTTGATTAGATAATTGCATTAATGAGAAATTGAACAGGTGTTCCTAATAATCCTTTAGATGAGTGTATATATATATATATATATATAGCCGCACAACTGTTTCCAACATTGATAATAGAGTATCAAATCAGCATATTAGAATGATTTCTGAAGGATCATGTGACACTGAGACTGGAATAATGATGCTGAAAATTCAGCTTTGCATCACAGGAATAAAATACATTTTAAAATGTATTAAAATATAAAACAATTATTTTAAATTGTAATAATATTTCACATTATTACTGTTTATATTTTTTATCAAATAATTCCAGCCTTGGTGAGCATACGATATTTCTTTCAAAAACATAAAAAAAGTCAGTAATGACCCCAAACATTTAAACGGTGATGTGTGTGAATATATATTACCATAAAGTTCATCTGCACTGATGCTGCCCTTATGTTTACAGAAGTTACTCCCTGAAGCACATGTGCATCTGTTTCAGCAGTCAGGGTTTCTGCCTTTAATGGATCCAAGGTTGCGTTTGTATTTTATTAATAGAGTTTAATGTTTTCCCCACAACCCCTTTTTAATACAGCCAAGATTGCTGACACGAATAATGAGATAATTAGATGTAGAGTTCCACTGTGTGAGGTTAAAAAGGTGATTGGTCAGATGTTTCTGTGTGTCTGAGGGTCGCCGTGGTGATCGTTTCGTGCTGCTATTGTGACATTAGTGTGCATGTGTAGGCCGCGCTCCTCATTTGCATACACCGGTCAGTTTATTATGTACTGTATCTTCTGTATATGTGTGTTTGTGTGTGTGAGTGGGTGCTGTTGATGACGTAATGTCCTGTCGAGTGTCCTTCGTGATTCTGTTGTTTCGACAAGCAGCGTTTGCTGTACTTTCTGTCCAGTGTCGTAATTTTTTTTCGTATTCTGTGTGTTTTTGTGCGTGTCGTGTTGTGTTTTGTTGTAGAAACACACCCTGAGTCCAAATTCTAACGAGTAAGAGCACTTCTTTTTTCTTTATTGTTGGGTTTTATGTAAAGTTGCTCACATGCTCTCAGGTATGGCAGCTCTGAACGGCGGGCTGGGCAGCACGGGTCTGAGTAACGGGTCGGCCGGGCCCATGGACGCTCTCACACAGGCCTACTCAGGGATCCAACAGTACGCGGCTGCCGCCCTGCCCACCCTCTACAGCCAGTCCCTACTGCAGCAACAGAGCGCTGCGGGCAGCCAGAAAGAGGGTATGGACACAGCGTCAAGTTAGAACTAGCTCAACTTCAGTTCATATGGAGCTACATCAATGACAAAAGTAAAAAAATAAAAAATAAATTGAGGCTACAATTTAACATGGTTGTTTATTTACATATGTAAATATTTCAATTGAAAACATTTCGTAATTAAAAAAAATGTTTAATTAATAATTAATTAGTAAAAAATATTTTTACTATTTGACCGGTAGTATTTGTGTTGCTTTACAAATTCACCTTGACAAATTTCGTTTTTTTGTCTTTTGTCATTAATATATATCCATCAGCAAAGAATTTGGGATGAATTTAAAGAATTTAGGATGGTACAAGCGTTGCGTTATATATGTTATATAATATATTCACACGTAAAATCGTAATTCAAAATGAGTAAATATACACTTTCAATGTTCAGTTTCTAAATGATTCAGTTTGTTTTTATTTTATTTTTTATTTATTTTTTATTAATTATACTTTATTATTTGACCTTTATTTAATTTAATATTTAATTAATAAAGAAAATTATATTTATATTTGACCGGTAGTATTTGTGTTTTGCTTTACAAATTCACCTTGACAAATTTTGTGCAACTTTTGTCATTAATATATATCCATAAGTGAATCGGTGTCAATCAAAAATAGTGTTACATTATATATTATATAAGAGACCAATAATGCTTTTATTTATAACCAATAATGATTATTTGTTTGTTTATATGTCCAAAAACTGATAGGTTTAAGTGTTGTTTATTAAGAATACATTTTAGTTTTCTAGTTCTGTGACTTTCTGATATCCGATTAAGGAAAAAAAAATGAAATATCGAGAAACAAAAAGAAACAGTATTAGTTGATCTCTAATATAAAATTTTATATTTAAAGCTGCATTTCATAAGTTTTTTGGGTTAAAAATTATCCAAAATAATTTTTTGAGCAAGTACATAACCAGCCAGTGTTCAAAACTATCTGCTTGCCTTAGCTCGATTCAAAGCGGTAAGCTTGTAATAATGTTTTTAACTCCAGTGGTACTGGTGAATTTCAGCGGGAGATTCGAGCATCTTTGCGTCATTACGTCACATCTGTACACATAAAGAAGGAGTCTCGGCTAGTATAAGCTATATTGAGTGTGAGGATGTTGGAGGTGGAGATTTATAGCCTTTTCTCACAGCACTTGATATATTTAAACTTATCAATTTGATGGCGGATCCAGAAAGATTCAAACGACAATCACCAGTGACAACTGGAGATTTACCCGCTGTAAAATGCAAAAGACTTCGTTCGGACTTCGGAGTGGCTACAGAAAAAAAGAGACTGCAACCGGAGTCACCGGGCCCATGCCAAGACAAGGATAATATCGGAAGGGCATTAAATGTAGTCACACAATGCTGATGTTGTTAACATTAACAATTTAAGAACAAAGTATAATTTGCACGGTTTGCCGTGCTATGATAAGCGATCGTTAGATTTAATCAGCGCGATTTACTGCAATGCTGTTTTCCCCTTAGTTGGTCAGAACAAAAGTGGATGTTATTTACTTGTTCAGATGACATTTTCTGGTGAATAATCTTATGTTGGTCATACTTTAAAAAAGTAGAATCTGGATTCTGAACGCCAGTATCGACACCGGCGCGGTGACTGACAGCCGCACATTCTCCTCAAAACATTGGATCATCCGCGCTGTGCCGTGCCGAGGCACAACCCACGTAAAGTTGATAATTCCGCGAATAACTGCAATTGCAGATTTCGAACAGAGATGGCGACAAAGAGGAAAAACTACGGACTGCAGCTTTAAATTTATTAAAGGTTTATTTTATAGTAAATTATATTATTTTATTACATAATAGTAAATATGATTGAAGTTTCGGAGTTTCTTCATTTGTAATTGTTCAGTATAGATTGACATTCCTTAATGCAGCGCTATAGTTGTGGATTATTCACTAAGCGTGGACACGTGCATGTTTTGTGCGTGTGAAACAGGACCTGAAGGAGCCAACCTGTTCATCTACCACCTGCCACAGGAGTTTGGGGACCAGGACATCCTACAGATGTTCATGCCTTTCGGAAACGTGGTGTCTGCCAAAGTCTTTATCGACAAACAGACCAATCTGAGCAAGTGCTTTGGTATGACCTGACATGCAAACACAGAAGACAACACAGAATTTACCAGTTACAGTTATTCGATTAAGGCTTGGGTGTATTTTATTTGGCATTAAACTAGTCATTGGACTAAATACTATAAAGGACATAGATTTTTTTAAATAACTAACAATTATGGTAGTAATGGCATTATATTTATATTTATTTATTTATATTTTATTTATTAAATTTTTTCGTGCCAAATGAAATATTGTCACTATTTATTTATTTTTGTTGCATATTTGCAGCTAATAATTCATTTTTTTTATGTAGTCTGTTTGCATTTTTTATTAAGGAGCCTTAAAGGGATACTCCACTTTTTTTGGAAATAGGCTCATTTTACAACTCCCCCAGAGTTAAACTGTTGAGTTTTACCGTTTTTGAATCCATTCATATCCATGATATGACGCAGCGCCTGAAAATAGTTCCGTTGTGTTGACGGAAGGTAGCCTATTTTCAGGCGCTGCGTCATATCATTACGCCTGCTGCACTCATGGTACGGCAGTGAAGTTTCTTGATTATTACGCAGGAATGAGAGTATAGTTCCTAGCCATATCAGCCTAGAAAATCGCAACTTTACATTTTCCGTCGGTCTTAGTTCATGATGTAACTACAGAAGAGTCAAGTTTTAAAAAGTAAAAATATCGAAACTCTTTGGTCATTTTTTTTGGAGAAATGCTAATGGTCTTGTCCACTTCAATGATGTATGCTAAGCTATGCTAAAAGTGGTACCGCCAGAACCGGAGATCGGCTGAATGGATTCAAAAACGGTAAAACTCAACAGTTTAACTCTGGGGGAGTTGTAAAATGAGCCTATTTCCAAAAAAAGTGGAGTATCCCTTTAAGCCCGGGACACACCAAGCCCTCTGGCAATGTCGGGCCGCACCATTGGCTCTAGTCGGACACGTCTGTTTTGTTTGCGCCGTCGGTGAGAGAGAGAACTCTGATTGGCTATTAAGCTTAGCGAACCAGTCAGCGCACGAGAATAAAAGCGAAAGTGATGTAAGCGAGCAAAAAAGTGATGACGGTACAGTAAGGCTGTTCTAATTTTACATCATCTTACTTGAGCATTCGAATGCGCGAATGTTTTCATAATAACGAGCCGACTGGAATGAAGAAAGTGATCAGCGTGATTGATATTTAAAATGCTAAGCAAGCGCTGATTTGTTTACGGTTTGTATATCTGCAGTCCTAGTTTCCGGTTTCCCTTTTTGAATGACGAATATAGAATATTAATACCTGCTGATATAGACAGATATTTTCTTACACGCAGACGTAGTTGACAATCACCTTTAGTACTTTTGGTGTGTTCAAGCGCAGCTTTTTAGCCGAGAGGCGACAACACAGTCCGCTTTCGCCGCCGCTAGTTCTTTGACATCGGCTTGGTGTGTCCTGGGCTTTATGCTCCATTCTCAGTCTGAATAGTTATGGATTTTCCATTCTCAGTCTGAATAGTTTTGGATTTTCCAATTTAGTTTCAAATTTATGGTCTATTTCATACTTGTCGTTTAGTTGCGTTGCAGCTGCCGCCAAACATGACTTACGATCGAAAGGACATTGTGCTGTTCATATATCTTTTTTTTTCTCCTTTTCCTCTACCACAGGTTTCGTCAGTTATGACAATCCTGTGTCAGCGCAGGCCGCCATTCAGGCAATGAACGGGTTTCAGATCGGCATGAAGCGTCTCAAAGTCCAGCTCAAGCGCTCGAAGAACGACAGCAAACCGTACTGATCTTAGCACTAGGGCCTCTCTCATGTTACACTGCTAGGGTAAGTCCCCACTGCTGCCACGGTTACTAAACTGGGACTCCGGGGGGGGAGGGGGTGCACGAGGGGGGGGGGGGGGGGGTTCCACCCTTTGACCACCAGGGGGAGCCACTCTCCCATAACCTTCTTTTCAGCTTTTATTTTTATTTTATCTTTAATTAATAACAGTATTATTATTTTGTCTCTTTTTTTTCTTTCACATGAACGCTTCCATTTCCGCCATTTTTTTTGTATGACTTGCGATGGATGAACAGCTATTATTGGTATTTTTTATTTTTTATTTTGGGTCATGTGTAAACTATTAGATTTTTTTTTTTAAGTAAATATTTATACAGTGGCTATTTCATTCTATGATGATAACAACAGCAGAAAGGAACGATGTATAAAGTATTATTTGTTTCTCTTTGTGAACCTGAGGCTTGTAAAGACAAGTAGAGAAGGTTCCGATATGATTAAAAGCACCAATATGCACATTAACCTTTGCCCTTTGGCCTCTGGTGTCGGTTCAGGGCTTTGCTGCTCCTTCGAACCCTTGGCCCACTGGCACTAGAGAGGAAAGGGTTAAACCCGCTGTGGCCTCTCTGTAGTCAACGGCAACAACTGCCTAAACAGCTTCCTCAACAAATACTTGCCGTCAAATGTTCAGTGATTTTTTTTTTATTATTCATTTTTTTGTCAGTTTTTAGTTGTTGTTTTTTTTGTCTTTTTATTTGGAAGAAAAAAAATTAGTCCGACTTTTATGCGTCAGATGATTGTGGTCTTTGTCCAACTGAATTTGTGTAGAGCATTACAAAAGATTTTGATCTGTCGATGGTTAAAAAGAATAAATCATTCTAGGTTCTATGTGGAGGGGTGGGGAACTGAAAACTTGACGTTTATCGAAAGAAAAAAAACCTTAAATTGCAGAAAGCCACAGGCCTGTAAATTTTATTTGTAAAAAAATGCAGTTCTATTTTTATACAAAATTTCTACTGCCTCTGAAGTAAAGGACTTTATTTATTATCTTTTAAGTTATTGGGTTTGGAAAGTCGTGCTCTCTCTATCCTGAGCCTCGTCCGCTAGTCTTCTTAAACCACACAAACCACACGCGTGAGGAGATCACGTACAAAACCCCTCGTTTTCTTTCTTTCTTCCTTTCTTTCTTTCTCTCACCATTTCCCACAATCCCATCTGTCACGTCCCCATCATATCTCTGTCTCGACTCTCTCTTCCTCTTCTCTCTTTGGTCATAAGTAGTGGCACTTCATAAGTGAAATCTCTCTTTTTCGTTTCGTTTCATTTCGTTTCGTACTGTTTGGTTTTTGTTCGTACGCTCCAAAAAAAAAAAAAAAAAAAAAAACTGAATAGTTTCTCCCAAACGGCGATCCATCTGCGGTCTCGGATCGGAGATCGGACCAGGATGGATACTTTTGGGTGTGTGTCTGTATGGAGGAGATTGAGTGTGTGTTTGTACTCTGTGTGTGTGTGTGTGTGTGTGTGTGTGTGAGTGAGTGCCTCATTTACATGTACGTGTTGGCAATCTATTCCAATTTTGTGTATTGTACGATTAAAAAAAGAAAACAGTTAAAAATGCTAATGTGATGTTGGTGAAACGCTGGTTGATAGCGCTGCTGCTGCTGCTGTTTGTTTGTTTGTTTGTTTTGTTTGTTTGTTGTTCTCATGGTTTAATGATGTTAGTTGTGTGCCGGAGCTGTGTGTGTAACTCTCCTCTCCCGTTTTCTTCCCTAGAACTCATCTCCATGACTCTATGCTCATCGTTTGCCTAGCATGTCTACGTGGCGTACAAAAAAAAAAAAAAAAAGTCTCATCGTCCCGTCATTGTTTCTGATGTCTTTCTGAGTTCTCCTGCTCATAATCTGGTCTCCTTTTACTGATCTTTGTACTTTGATCTTAGCCTGATCTTTTTGGAAAAAAAAATTCGCATGTGACCTCATTTTGAGCTTTTTTGCCTGTTTTTGTTTTCATTTTGTTTTGTTTTGTTTTTGTTTCGATTTAACTGGTGAGGGAGGGAGCGAGGGAGGGAAGGAAGGAAGGGAGGAAAGACAAAAAAAAAAAACAGTAATAATAATAATGTGAAAACGCTGCATTCACACTCTAGAGACAGAGTATATTTACTAACATAACCAGAGCATCATTTTAAGAAAACCTAAAAAAAAAAAAACCTAAAAAAAAAAATCCTGTGGCAAATCAATTACGAATATTTGCGTTTGACTTTTTTTTCTTTTTCTTTTTCTTTTTTTGTCTGATTGTTTTTTTCTCTCTCTTTATGTTGTTGGTTTTTTTTTCATTCATTTAAAGTAAACTTGAACGTTCAATACAGGGATTGGCGTTGGGACTTACTGTTGGCAACACTCTTATTTTGAGGCCTGCCGTAAGAAACCCACGCTGGTTTCTAAACGAATAGACTACTTCCACGCAGTTTTAATAAAAGAAAAAAAAAAGCTGCCTGATCGATATTAGAATCTCTCAGAGCTTGCTCGTGGTTTTTACATTTTTCAGGCAGTGTAAAGGTTTTTGATAAGGCCATTTTAAGTGGCTTGATTTCTCATTAAAGTCTATATAAAACCACTTTTTTCTAGAGTAGTAAAGGTATTAAGAAAAAAAAAACACATATACACACACACACACACACAAGATTGCCCTGTTTGGGGGGAAATGCTACCTACGTGTCACACCTTTTGCTGAACTGACTTACAGTTAGACAATCCGTGGTTTAAATGCACATGAAATGACCTATATTTTATACTGTTTAAATGTATAGAGGAAAAAAACAGAGTTTGTGTAACCCGCGGTCCCGTCGGTGCTTTTCGTGGATAAAGTCGTGGTTTCATCAAGTCTAACAGTCTTATTTGTCTCATGTTTTTAAAGAGAAGACTAAAAATCAATTTACTTGAACAATAGACAAAGCCTTTCATACGTACTATTACTACTACCTTTTTTGTTTGGTTTATTATTTGTATTTCTTTCTTTTTTTTTGTTTAGTTTTTTTTTTTTTTTTTTTTTTTTGATAGGACTCCCTCTTTGCTAAATTTCTTGTTGGGTAATTAGCTATATAAAAATTATTAAAGTTACAGTGTCGGCTTGTGAAGCATCTATGTCATTATATTATTTTATTTCTATTGTGGGAAACAATATTTAGATGTGTTATGTTGTTCAGCAAAATGTGATTTTTTTTTCTTATAAAGAAAAAAAACAAGATGAGTGGAATTTAGTGCCAAATTCTGACGGTACATCCTGCCTACAGCTTCAGTGTTTTACTTGTGAAATTATTTGATAACATGGGTATTTTATTACGTAAGTGTTTTGTATGGAACCCTCATATTTAAAGATATAGATTTAAAAAAGGTTGTTAACTTGCTCTTCTGTGGTCTTGTTGCCTGAAAATGTTCATGTTTTTTGCTTTTCTTTCTTTTTTTCTTTATTTGTAAAGATGTAAAAAGTGCCCATGTGTCATAATCACTCTCACAAGCACACACACACATACACACACACAAACACACACACTCACAGGTAAGCACATACGCATGCACGCATACACACACATGTGCTAAAGGTTGACCTCACAACCCTCTTTTCTTTGACAGTGTGTGTATGTGAGCCCCTGAGATTGAGTCTCAGCAGTTCTCCTTATACACACACACACATACACACAGATTAAGGGTCCAGTTACACCACAGAAGCCCCTATTAGGAGCCAAATTTCACAGGACAAATTCATCTGATACATGTTTGTCAGTGAACAATTTGTGTGATGGGACAAAATATTGACGCATTTATGTGAATTGTGAATCAGGCGTTGAACTTTTGACCATCATGATATAATACAGGGCCATCGCGACAGCCTCTTTACAAACCTAATCATCGAACAAAAGCTGATCTGTGTTCCTCTACGTTAAATTCTGAACGTCTCAGTGTAGTCTCGCTTCCTGCTGCCTTTATCAGGACTATTTTACGTTCGTAGAACAACCAAAACTCCGTCCTGATGCCAAAGTAGTTCAGCGTGATCCGCAGTGTTCGATAGCGCCTGTAGCACTTTGCTGTAAACGTTTACACATCGTTCAAACGGCCCGTAAAAAAAATATTGTTTACAAACGTAGTTTACAGGCAGCCCCCTCAAACCAGTTTACTTCACTCTATAGCACTATTTTATACCCAAGCTCTGCCGTTGCCTTAACACGTTGATCAGTATTAATGGGCTGGAATACATTGCTGCACATTTAAAATGTGTGCCAAGGGTGTGTGTGTGTGTGTGTGTGACTGTACATGTGTGTGTGTGTGCTATGATTGGTTGTTCGCTGTCTATTCGTCCACGATATTTCTAATCTTTAGCCAAAAATTTGTGACAGTTACAAAAACAAAAACAATAGGAACTCATTCATGAAACAAGAATCTTACGTAAATTTTCGTACAAAGTGAACAAATTTCTGTAAAATCATTCTTAAGTGAATTGCTCTATATGTGCATAAAGAATTCGTATAAATTGTTTGTAAACATGATTAACTCTTTCCCCATCATTGACGGAAATTTCTGAGCACAATGTATACATATTTTTTTTTGTGAGTCATTCTTACGTGAATTCTGACCTATGACCATTCTTACGTATTGTCGCACACATGCAACAACATTTAGTGGTTTAACGAATGGTTTATACAGAAATTCGCTCTTCTCGTGTTTCACGAATGAGAGCCTGAGGCCTGAAATACGTTTGCCTATAATTTACCCCTTAGTTTCATATTGGGAAGTTCGAGTCAAGTCAGTTTTATGATATACTGCTCCCTTTGCCAAATCGTATAACCACTAGCACAAACACAAAAGCACATGCGCATTAGCACAGCGTTAGCACGCAGTATTAAAACTGACGACTTCTTACGCTCACCCAGTAGTACAGCAGTCAGTTTCGACTTCTAAGTGTTCTGAGTGGCATGTAAGGAATTATAATTATTCCGAATTTTTGTTTGGCCTCATTTGATTCGTTTGACTTGATATAATACCACTCTATAATGAACTGCGGTTCGGCTTAAGTGTTTTTACCTCAGCTCAGTGCAGAAATATCGACATTCGGTCGTTTCCATCACGGTGTTCTACTTCGTATACCACACTTCATCACAATCAACTTCGGGACTTCAGACAAACAGGGTAAGCATTCACGGCCTGCACAGTTTCACACACACACACACACACACACACACACACACACACACACACACACACACACACACACACACACACACACACACACACACACACACACACACACATACTTGTTAGATGTTTAGCAAAGCACAAACTCACAGGGGTCCGCAGGAGTTCTCGCTGAGACTCTTCACTCAGGGGTTTTACGCACCGCACGCATCTGAAATCTGTTTGTTGTTTCTTTTGTTTCTTTCTTTCTCTTAAGTGCTATTTAACAAGTGTATTTTAAAGGAAAAAAGATGTGTAGTTTCTTTGCATTTTGGCTTACGTCAAGTTTTTTGGAAATGTATGTGTTTATCTAATGTGCCGTAACAAAAGCTTGTCGTCTGTAGATTAATATCATTTCGTTTGATTCTAAAAAGATTTAAATAGTTTTAAGTATTGTCTTGAGAAAAGCCAAAGTCAATGCATTTCAGTGGATTCTGTAAGCGTGATACATGTTTGTTTGACAACACTTTGAAAATCTGTCATTGGATGGGAATTTAAAAAGTACAAAAAAAGCAGGCTTTCCTATTTCTATCACTGATTGTACTTATGCCTTTTGTACCAGTGGAACTTTTTATACTGGCAATTAAAGGAAAAAAAAGAAAAAAAAAAACTATCCGACAGGCTGCGCGGCCCCAGCCAGGGGCCGACGGCGTCTGGTTCCCGAGTTTGATTTCTAGTTGGCGTCCAGAACGTTAGGTTTTGATATAAAGATTTTTTAGGAGAAACTTTGGCTTGGTATCTTAAGCCTCCTCTTCTTTATTCTTCACATCGATATTTGCTTTCATGTTTTCTTTGGTTCATTTCCTTTTTCGGAAAGAGGGTCGGGAGTTTTCCTTTTGGCTTATAAATACGTAATGCGGTTTGTCTTTACAAAAGAGTCTTTACAACAGCGGTAAGTTTCATTTAGTTAAGTATTGTGCAGTCACCATGATAAAGACGATTAGACGATTTAGAAGTATTTAGTCACCTTCAGTGGATAAATGTATTAGTTTGACAAACAAGATAAAAGTAATTTGAGGACTTTGCTTTTAGCTGTTTAGATTTTTCTGGTTTCTCTGTCTTTGCTGTTAACCTAACTGTGTAGCTGGAACAGTCAGACTTATTTTTGTAAATGTATGTTCTTGTGTGAT